GCCAAATAATACAATATATATATATATAGCATATATATATATAGTATATATATATATATATATATAGCATATATATATATATAGCATATGCTTTTTACATCTACAATAATAAATATATAAAATGCACATAAGTATAAAAATAAATAAAACATTCTCTCATGAATATTATTCCAATTATGAACTGCTATACATACAGCTGCATAAATTGTGTTGCTAAACCATACTTGCATTGTCTTTTAAAGTATCTTTTACAAATCGGTAATATTTAAACAACATTTTTGGATTTATGTATTATTTGGCGTGCAAGTAAAATTATATAAAAAATACATATATTAAAAAATATTACTTATTTCTTTACTATATTTTACTGCATGGTCCATATTATTGTACTCTTTGACCCCAGGAAGAATTTCTGAAACATACTAAACAGAATTTTATGATTAGTTTTTCAGACGTACGAAATTCTATGTTGTACTGATTTTTACCGGAAAAAGATTTTGAAATATTAATAAGTGTTCATTGCCAATGTAAATTACTCACCGATACGCTAGATATGTGTGTGTGTGTGTGTGTGTGATACCTACTAGCGCTGCGTGGATTTATATCCCCAACTAAAAACGTGTTCCACTTCCCCGCATCTGTGTTTGGCCCACCTGGCTTTGTTCATGTCACCATGTCTAAAAATTGTGCACACCTACTATATACGAACTAAAATAGTACAAGCAAAATGCCGCCAAAATCAGAAAAGGTTATACTTTATTATCTTTCCATCAAATGAATAAATATTTAGAAAAATAAAGTAGTTTTTATTTTATCTTTCAGTAATCATTTACTATATTTCATTATTTGTATTAAAATATTAATAAATAAACCAAATATATTTTTGACATAGTAAAGTGTAATTAATACATTCATACATTTCCAGGAAGCAATAGTATTGTTAATAAATATTGGAGTGACATGTCCCAATACCGAAAATAATTCTAGTTTATTGGAAAAGATTAAACACATTTCAAAAAGAATAATAGAAAAGAAGGTACAGAATAAGTATTAATATTGTTCAGATTTAATTATAAGCAAGTATTGTTTCACAGATATTTCTACGGCCAAAGGATGAAATCGCTGTACTACTGATGGGTTCTCCTATTACAAAGAATTGTTTAAATACAGAACATGTAAGAGAACTTACAGATTTTCAGATTCCAAATTGGGACTTAATACAAGAAATTATGAATGTTTGTGGAACAAATTATTGTTCTAATTGGATTGAAGCACTCTATGCTACAACAGAATTCATAAAAAAAAATGTGTATGTTTATAAACTATATTTTAATTTATTCACGAATTCATTGCATACAAATAAATTTCTATTTGTTTTTTTTTATTTTAGTATCGATAATTCTACGAAAAAAGTGATTTTAATGTCAGATTTTAACGAAGAAGATGACATTATTTCGCAGTTTGAGACAGATTCGATAGCAGATCTACTTCATACGGAAAAAATTGAGTTCCTTTCAATGTATAACAAATGAATTGTATTTATACATTCGTTTATTTCCTTGTATAAAGTATTGTACATAACGTGATTACCTTGCCCTTTTAGAGGAGAGGAAGCATTAGACGACAGACCTGAAAACACTCTTAAAATTAGTGAAATATTTCTAAAAGATATTCATAAGAAGGTAACAATTCACTATTACCATAACATTTGTATCGATAACATATGCAGTTACAATTATTAATCAATTTTTCATGTTTGATCAGATGAACAGTCAACATATAACATTTTCTAATGCTATATCCGATTTAAGATTTTATCTTGAGATACCACCAAAACCAGCACCATGGAATGCTATTTTAGAATTAGTCGATATTAAGATTCCAATCGTTAGTTATATTAAGGTAAGAAAGAATTCTAAGTTACTCTTCTTTTTTGGATCCAAAGTAACTAGTATTTTATTCGATTATTTTATATATATATATTTGAGTTTTTAGTTAAAACAAAAACGAATACCCTCTTAATCGAATGCGTATCATATGGCGTACAATAATATAAATTAAACATATTGCTTGGCAGGTAACAGATACAAAAAAATTTCCAGCATGGAAAATAGCCAAAGGCGACAAAAAAGTAATATCGGTGAGTGAATACTCGGACAGGCAAAGAACTGTGTATAACAAGGAAGAAATGGTATCAGGGTATAAATACGGAGGCGATTTTATTCCAGTTGAAAGTATATTACGAATTTCTTTCGTTATCGCTAGATTTATATGCAAACTATCAAATATATGAGTACTTTTGTAATTATAGAAACTCTAGAGGAAGCCATGAGTTACAAAAGCGGACCACAAAGCTATAAGATTTATAGTTTTACAAAGAGAAGTAATATTGGTTTGGAACATTGGTATGATTATACTACACGTATTGTTTTACCACGATTAGAAGTATGTTTTTATAATTTAGTTTCGTTTAAATGCCTTAAGCTTGTAATATATATGACTGTATATTTTAGAATGCAGAAGATCCATTTTTTAGTCTTGTATTAGCAATGCACAAAATGGATGTGGTTGCCATTGTAAGAAAAGTTTATAGAAATGATTGTGCGCCTAAAATGGTAACGTTGTTTCCGTGCATCGATATTCCTGATGAACCATGGGTATTGCTAAATATTTTTTCAATTTTCAATAATTATCTTTTCAAATGTTTGTTATTTCATAAGGTATATTTATATTCGTGCAGTGCTTGGTAGAAATATCTTTAGCATTTGCAGAAGATCGAAGAGTAATGGACACAAGACCCATTAAATCTGTTATGAAACAGTTATCCAATGAACAGAATGAAGCCATAGACAATTTGTTAGACTCCCTAATGTTACCTGAAACGGAGTAAATATATATTTATATGAAATAGTTTCATACGAACATTTTTCAATTTTCAAAAAGTTATTGCAATATCTTTATTGTATTGTAAAAACTCGCGTTATACGGACGTTTACTATATTTTCATATATCTTCAGAGATAGTTACGCATTAGAAGGGAGTCAATATTTTTTACCGGGAAGTGTATCGGATCCTGCGGTACAGCATAGATGGCACATGTTGTCGCATCGCGCACTTAATCCGGATAAACCATTACTGCCCATGGAAGATTACTTATGCAAAATTTTTGAAGTTCCGTCAGTGAAAGAACAAAGTAGAAGCCATCTTCAAAGAATTGCACAATTGTTTCAATTGGAAAGCATAAATCATAAAGCGGAACAAAAGTAAGGATTCGACGCATAGTATAGTAAAAATTGATACTTTTACAATACACAGGTATTATGTACGCATATATTTATAATGTAGAGTAACGAGTAATATTACTTTATTCAGAGAGGAATCTAAAAAAGAAGACAATGTACAGGATGGTAATAGGATCGAAGAGTTTATTAAAACTGATGATAAGAACGATAATGCAGACTCTTTGAAGGAACCAGTTATGTTTATGGATACATCAGACATCGATTTGGACGAACTGGTGAAACAAATAAAAGAAAAATATGCATACGCATTTGTACAATCTGTATATATAACTTAATCGACGTTTGTATTTCAGGTTGCCAATATATAATTTATGGTATTTACATAAAATGTTAACTAAATAGCTTGCAAATTCTATTAAAATACATTTGAAATGTAATATATATTTTAGCGTACAAATAAATAATTAATATATTTTTGTATGAAAATATCTTCTTACAAGTTAATATTGATATAATATTATATAATTTTTGAAACTATCACAGTTTCCCTTGTGGGTTCCCGGTATTTTCGCTCAAATGAATAGCCATCTAGCGGTAATGGTTTATCCGAATTGGATAAACCACCGATGGCGTCACTAGAAATGGCACTACTATATATATATCTGTGTATATGTATATGCATCCTTTTTATCAAGCATGTGTTTGTATTGATATTACGATATACGACCTATCAGCGCCAGAGCACCACAGAGCACCTATACCTACTAATAGACTAAGAAGTACGTACAAGTCGTACGTACATACGGAACGAGCCGTCACGAAGTTACATGCATCCTTACTTTTTTTATTTACAACAGAAATAAGTTAAATAAATATATTTCTTTAAAAATGACAGTAGATTTAGGCTTCGTGGAAACATGCGAATCGTGGCGATTAGAGAGTAGATTTTTCCCAAGTAAAGTGGGCGGTAAACCAGCGTGGCTTAATTTAAGAGATATTCCCGGAGAAAAGGATCTTCAGTGCGAATATTGTAAAGAACCTTGTATCTTTTTATGCCAAATTTATGCTCCATACGAAGATAATGAAACTGCTTTTCATAGAACGATATATATTTTTATATGTAAGAAGCCAGATTGTTGTAAGTTGAACAAAAACGGAAATTTAAAGGTTTTTCGATCTCAGTTAGCAAGAGTAAATGAGTTTTATCCAGCTGAACCGCCTATAGAGGACAACGATTGGAGAAGTGACATCAGTATATATCTAACCAAAATTAGCAATAGCTACGTGTATTGGCAAAAAGTTATTTATATTAAATTAAATGGTTTTAGATGTAGATCAATGGGTGAAAACATGTTATGTTTGTGGAATATTAGCCCCTAATCATTGCGCTAAATGTAAACATATAAATTATTGTTGTCGATCTCATCAACTTTACGACTGGAAATGTGGTCACAAAGAATCTTGCGGTAGTAACGAGGGCACCACAAGGAACAGTCAACTTTTATTCCCTGAATATGAAATTACAATAGAACCAGAGGATGAGAAAGAAGACTATGATACAAATACTTTTGAAAAAGATGAGGAAGAAACTAAAAAGTATGAAACAATGGTAAAAAACGGCGAAGCAGGAACTTTTCAAAATGAGGATGTGCAAAATGAATTATTATGTTTGGCTAATCAAAACGAAGATGAAACATTTTCCAAATTTCGTATGATTATCGATAAATATCCAGATCAAATTTTAAGGTAAAGTTTGTTAAAATTTTTTTTAAATTAATATCGTTAACGTGTCAGCTATTATTTTTATCGTTATAGGTACAGTAGAGGAGGACAAATTTTATATATTTCAAAAGAAAATTACGTCGGTGAAATACCAAAATGTTGGAACTGCAACGAAGAAAGACAATTTGAATTTCAGGTAAAATACATGGACAGAATCAAATTTTATTTATCATTCAAGCAAGTTTGAACGTAATTAATATAAAATTATTTGTTATAGATTATGCCACAACTATTAAATTTCCTCGGTTTGGAAAATACTCTTAAATGCATTGACTGGGGTATTTTAATGATATTTACATGTAAAAAGTCATGTATACCTAAATATGGATACAGTACAGAATATATATGGAAGCAAGACATTGTAGAAAATAATCTAGATAATGTGTCATAGGAGTGTAAGAAAAAATATTTAATTATATTGTAACAAAATTGTACAGTGGTATAAGACAATATTATGGTATTTGGACAAATAACATATTTTTATTATTTACAGTGAAATATATTTTTATTTTGGTAACAAGTTTACTTTATGTATTAATACTAAAATATACTACTCAACTATTAGTTGATCCAAAATATAGAAAATAAACAGGATGCAAATATAACATCTATTTTTCTTAAAAATATAAATTCTATAAAATATACTATTATTAGATACTTTATAAACGTTTAATTCTATAATACACATTAATAACACAATGATTGTAAAAAATATGATTTCCTTAAAAAAACCATTGAATAAAAATGTAACTGCTTTTCCTTCATTGTATAATAATGCTGCTTAAAATATACTTATAACATACAAAGTACTTTAGCATTCATTGTAAGAAAGTCAATATATAGGAACATATACATCTAAGTAAAGTTAGAATAATATTTGTCGCATTGTCTATCATTATTTTGCATCGTATTATGCGGTCGAATTTATCTGCAACACTTTCATGTAAGTATAAACAATTTCGATCTAGAAATTACGCTGATAAACCTTAGATACATTATAATTGATGTTTGTCTTTTTAGAAAAGTATGCATGTAGAATTTGTAATTAAATATACAACACTGCAAAAGTTAGTGCTTTGTAGAGCACAATATCGATGCGCTATCTTCACAATATTGTTTAAAATACTTTAAGGTAATACTGTTCACAGCCTTAGTTAGATTATGTGACAGATCAAATGGATCTTGCACACATAATGGAGAATCGATGCGCAAATATTCTGGTTTCTTAGATGTTTTCAAGTGTCTTTTGTAAGGTTCCATTTCTTTGGGTAATGTTTCTAACTCTGAAAAAGCTTTTTTAGCCAATACATTACCTAAAAGTGGACAAATTATATAGTGCTGATAATCAAAATTTGCATAAAATTTAAATAGATCCAGTAACAATACTGGAATGGATTGCACAGATTCATTGTTATCCATTGGTTGTGCAATGCCAGTTTCCCAACCTGAAATCAAATTTGATTAGAAAATCATTTTTATTTCAAGTAAATCGATGACATTTTAATAAATAAAGTAACAATGAAATAATGAAAATGCAAATGATTTCCTTTAGAATTAAGTACGAGTAACTTGTACATTAAAGATAATATAATACAATTTACCATGTATAAGTTGAGATTGATTTTTTTCTTTTATTAGCTTAGCAATACTTGGTAAATACGATTTTGATTGCAAATAGAATATAACAATCCAAGAAAGAGCATAATTTGTTAAACCACATCTTCCAGGTAAATTAAAAAGAGAGAACCATTTTTTTATAAATAATATTAACTTTCTGCAAGGTAAATATGCATCATTGAAAGACCTAAAAATAACAAAAATTATAAATACATTATTCTGTAATTCCACATTATTATTCTGTGTTATACAAAGGTAACTACAATACCGTATCAATTTAGAGTTTTCAACAGAGAGTCCATTTGTAATGGAAATATCACAGTCTACACCTGTTCGCTTATATATTAATTTTATTATAGGGGTCCTAGTTCCTTCCAATAAATCTTTCACATCCCATTGTTCTTTTTGTGCACGTAAACTCTGTTCAATGTGTGTAAGATTGCAATTTCTTAAATCGTCACTTTTACTTTCATAGTATGTGTTTCCTATTAATATATGGATCAATATAAACAATGTTGAAAAAATTATACACTTTACAATGCATTAACATATATATTTACCACAGTCAATGTATATATCTATATCGCTATTTTCAAGTCCAAGTCCAGTTAATCTTGAACCAAATAAAAATGCTTTGACAGATGGGAACTTTATTCTTAAGCTATTTTCTAAAGATTGTCTCACTTCTTCCTGTATATTGTCATTCGATAAAATTTCTGATTGTTCAAATAAAATATTAACAGTTTTGTCAATTTTGGTTAATATTTTCTTTATACATGTTGGAAGATCCTCAATCATAAAATCTTTACTTTTTGTTAAATATTTGTGCATTATGTCGTTACAATGCCCTATATAAGAATCCGTTTGACCCATCCATAAAGTAGCACATGGAATACAAAAATCAAATGTATAATTCTCCGACATCTGTTTGTGTTTAGTAAAAATATGCTCCATGAATTCCAACTTATATTTAAAATTTGTTGCACATAAAGTACATGAAAACATTTCAATACTGTAAAACAAACTACAATTCAGATTTTGCAATACAGATTTAAAAGTATCATCGATAATGGTACGAAATTTTGTATAATTTTTTCTATGCAATGTGCTATTAATATGAGTGTTGATCATTTGTAATCCATCTTTGATAGTATTTTTACAAGGATAACATTTTATATATGTTTTTGTTTTCTTTGTATATTGCAGTGATAATTTCTCAGAGTCTATATCTTTTTTAATTTGATCTACCTGCAGAACATGTGATTCATAACGCACATGTTCATATAATGAATACAACTCTTTTGAAACACTTACAGAACAGGCCAAACAATAGAAGTTGTTTTTATTGTGAGGCATAAGTAATTTGAAATTTGCTTCTATTTTGTCGTGTTCTTTTTTATCCAATGTATACATTTTTTCCTCAATTTCTAAATAGTGTTTGCAATATAATTTGTTTAAACGTTCTGCTAAGGACTTTTCTTTACATTTCTTTATATTTTCTTTATGATCCCGTTTTCTTGCTAAGTTTCCATTAAATGGTGACTCTTTTAGACATTTTTCAATTTGTATACATAAATCAGGTGGTAAAATTAAACCGCTATCAAGTTTATTTGTACTTTGTGATTTCTTATCTGCAATAGACATATCACTAAACTGATCTGTTACTAATAGCGTGTTGTTATTGGTACCACAGTATTTCTTATCATGAAATAATTGCTTCACTCTCCATGTATGTATTTTTCCTCGACAATGATCTATTAGATTATGATGCGTATTTAATTTTGCTCTGCAAAATGAACAACGATAAGTAACATTATTCTTTATATTATTCTGTAAGTTAATATCCGAAGTATCGATAGATATGAGGTATTTTTCAATGAAATCTGCAGATGTATTTTCCACTTTTGGAAAAAGTATGTTACAAAACCAAAAATTTTTATTTTCCAAGACATTTTTAATGTTACGAGGTGCATGGGCAAGTATTTTGTTGTTACTCATATCGATACCTTCCAAAGTACTCGCTAAATTCTTTAAATGTGTTTCCAAACGTAAATGATTGATCAATGAACTGTTTCCTTGCATTATCGATTTACAACAAAAACATTTGTACAAGATGATATCATCTCCCATACTCATAGAAAATATACTACGTGTATGTGTTATTGTATTAATGTGCTCAAATAAATTATTAATATCAATTTGTACATTACATAATTCGCAATAGTAAAAGCAATTCTGAAGGAGACCAACGTCCTTTTCACTTTCATCTTGTATTTTTTCATATTTACTTCCATCAATATCATTTATTAAATGTTCCCCTTCATTCACATTCTTTGTTGATAATTTTGTACAACATGTAGTTTTGTAAATATTAGTACCTAAGTCTTGCTTCTGGCTTGTATCGATATTTATTTTAATTTTTGAGAAATTAGTAAGTGATTTTTTATCTGTTATACTCGTTTTAATTATTTCATGTTTGACATGTTTGCTTTCGACAGTACTTGACATTTTATTGAGACTTTTTAAAATATTAATATGAGATCTTCCTTTAATGTGTGCTAATGTATCATGAAATGAAGGAAACTTACGTTTGCAAAATCGACATGAAATGGTATTACTTTCAAGAATTATAATTCCATTATCTACTAGCATCTGATCAGTCTGTTTCATGTTGTCATTGCATTTGTTATTAATATTTAAATTTGATTGACATTTTTCTGTTTTGAAATTATTACACATATGGTGTGTCATATTTTGGTTACTGTCCTCCTTCTTCGTTTGTTGTTTAAGTGTATTAACATGTTGTTTTCCTTGAACATGTGCTAAAACATGATTTTGAGATGGTAAAGGACAATTGCATATTTCACATATCAAAGTGTATGAATTGAGAATAACAATGTTATCACAAAGTATTTTATATTCTTCCTGCATATCTAACTTGGTAAATGATATAGATGTATCGCGTTTGTTTCTTTCATTAGACATTGTATCTCGTTCTTTGTTAAATAGTACATTTTTCTTTTGTAATTCCTGGGTATGTTCTTTTTTTGCATATTTCATTTCAAACATGTTTAATGAATCTATTTTTTGCCTTACTAATACGTTTCAATTAAATTCTTAACCACTTAATTACGTAGAAAAATCCGAAAGATATTACAGGTGGCCCTCACGGGCTGTAGCTATAGCTGATTGTGACTGATGACTGACGAGTGATCATTGGTGATTATATGATTACTGATTGTAGCTTGCAGCAACACCATAACATTGTTTTTATCCTTTGTGCTATGAAATGTTATTCATTGATATAATTCACAGAATTGCCAACGTTAGTTTCAACTAATGTAATTTAACGAATGTCACATATTATATTTACTTACAAATCGCAGGAACAATAATAACTGACTAATAAACTAATAACGAGCAATGAGCAATAATCTTAACTTATATCTTATCTGTTTTTACAGTAGAATCCGGGGAATTACCTAACGTTATACAGATGCGTCTGAAATATGTACCAGGGAATACCCTAGATTTCTTATTTATATTATTTGCATGCCAACTACCACCTTTACTTAGTTATACATGATCAATTTTACCTCCCTCGATTCTTTTATATAAGAAAAGAAAATTTTTTGCACGAAGATATAACATAAAATACTGTACAAGTGTGCAGTGATTGGAAAACCCCTAGGCTTCGAATAAATCGGAAGTTTGCCGATATATTTGTCTCGTTTCCTCTTTTGAACATTTTCCATAGAATAAAACGAGACAATCACATCGGCAAACTTCAAATTTATTTCGAAGGCCTAGGGTTTTCCCCATCTTTGCAAGTGTGTAGGTACGAAGAGGGTGTTAGCGATGATTTGGGATTAGCGATAGAACTTCTTCTAACGTTTGTAATACCACCCTAAAAATTATAAATTAACAATCTTACTTGATTTTTTCAATTCAAACGTTATGAAACATGTGCGCGTAATAAAGTTAATAAAAACAACGAAGAAAGTTATTATAAAATCCATTGAGAACGTGACCTCTAGTAACACAACCACGTGATTTGCAACAGGACCAAAACGCCGGAGTGTAGCGCCCCTGAATAAATGCAGATTTCTGTGCAAATAATAATCATTAAATAAAATTCGAGAACTTTTAAATATAAAAATGTGTAACATATATATATATATATATATGAATAAAAAAATATGGTTTCGATTTGAGCGTACTGATTAACGTAGTTCAATTGACTGCCTTCACGTTCACACGGAAGTGATAGAAATTGCGATTGGTAGGATAGCGTTATTTTATTACGTGTCATGTACAACACAAATCTACTTTTCCCAATTGCTTGAAAATTTCAAGACAAACTTCGAAGATCTTTGATATTTACTTATTTTAATCGTTAAAGGTATTTAAAGTTGTATTTCATTTATATTTGTAGCGAGATTTACAAATTCATCGGTTTCATTTATTCGAAAAGTGTGTATATTTCAGTGGCGTTTAAACTGTCATAAACATATGCATTATAAATTTGTTCGATATATATTAGATATCAATAGTTTAACAAATCATCTAGAAAATACGGTTAAAACGATAATGGTATTTCACTTACCATATAACAAGTAATGTGCTTAATGATATATTAATAACAAAATTTAGTAAGTCAAACAGGGCAACTGTTTAATTTCATGTGTTTTTAAAGGTATACGTACAGCTAATATTTTTTATATTTTTATATATTATATTCTTTTTGCTTGTAGCAAGAAGATGCGTCAATTGAAGGGAAAGACGAAAGAAACAAACAAACAGAAGAAGGAGAGAAAAAAGGAATTTTTAGAAAATAAACAACGCGTCTTTACAATCGTGTTACCTACAATTGCTGCGATATTTGTTGTAATAGCAGCTTATGTTTACGTTAAGACCCGTCCAAAAGTTGTTGAGTATTAATCGATGTGTTTGTCATCGCCGATCATTAAAACTCGATACCCTGTGCATTCGGAGAATGCTTGGACAGTTCCTCGATACGTTTGTACAATTACATTAGAATCGTTCAAATAAGAAGGCAGAATTAAATGCCTGCTCGTAAAGTATTTCATTCCTATCACTCGATAATCAAATGTATAAATTATGTATTAATTATATAACTTCCAAAAAGTATTTTTCATGTTAAAAGTTACACATGATTGGAGTATAAATATCAATTAAGGGAATATCGATAAGAAGTTTTTATTGCGCAGAGTAAAGTTGGAATACTTGTATTATTATTATTATTATAAAATTTGTCTATATCAAAGTAATTATTTTTAAATTTACATATTCCATTACATTCTAGTGTATTTTTTCAAACGCAATGCTATAAAATAACACGTAACTTTATCGAAAACTTGTTCCGATATTAAATATGATTCCAAGTATGTTGCATTTTTTAGTGTAACCGATACATGTTTTTTCCATAGAAAGAGAAAAATGTAGTTCTATACAACGCTTGTAATTGTATAATTTTTTAAGATAAACTGAAAAACATTGTTTTATAAAATGTTTACAAAATAAATATGAATATAACATAATTTTAACACATTTTAATCATCTTTGTAACAGTTTATTTCAAATATATTTACATTTCCTTTATTACAAATTGTTAATTGATAATTGATACTGCTTTGAGAAAATATAATCATAGATTATAGTAATACTCAAAAATGTAATTGAAAATTGGAAAAAAATTGTGAACCACTGAATAGCCATATACACCAATCAGTAATGCCAGAGATCACCGGATGCGCCAGTAAAGTATCTAAGTGCGTGAAATTGGTACCTTTAGTTGGTCTAACGAAAAATAGAAGTATAAAAGAATTGGGACCGCGCATCATTTCTTATAGTTACAGTACTGCGCGCTCAGCTGTAACCTGTAACGTAACCAACCGTGTCATCACTGACACCAATAGGAACTCACCACGCTTTAGATGCACACACGTGTATTGAGCTCTCGGCTTCTATCTGTTTGCAAATTAAACACTTTATTATTGTTCGAAAACATGAAAGAAATTCTAGTTTACTTTCCGTTTATGATTTTAACGTTACTTGCTCTTTCGACAAGTTCTGTCAAAGGTAAATCGATGTTTGTACACGAAATGTCAAAGTTAATCATCGCATCATTTGTAATAATATCAGTTTCTCAATTACATTGAATTATTATATTACTATTGTATTTCGTGTTAATTTCGTAATATTCGTATACTCTAATACTATATATTTTATGTGTAGCTAAAGGAACACAATACGTGACTTGTGGTTCTATGTTAAAATTAATGAATGTAGACCATAAAGTCAGATTACATTCCCACGATGTAAAATATGGTAGTGGTAGTGGCCAACAATCTGTAACTGGTACATCGACAAAAGAAGATGGAAATTCGTATTGGCTTGTTAAAGCTGGAACAAAGAGACAGTGTACTAGAGGGTATGTGTGTTGTTATTATAATGTATTAAATATTTTATATTTCTTATAAAATGCAATTATAATATCAAACAAAATTAATTAACAATAGAACGCCAATCAAGTGTGGAGATATCATAAGATTAGAGCATACAACAACAAAAAAGAATCTTCATTCTCACCGTGTTAGTTCACCTCTTAGCGGTAAACAAGAAATTTCTGCTTATGGAGATAGTAAGGGAGAAGGTGATAACGGTGACAATTGGCTTCTAGTATGTCACACTGAGTTTTGGAAAAGAGATGAATCGATCATGTTAAAGCATGTAGATACGGATACGTAAGTTATTTATTGTTTACCAAATATCCTAATTCTTATTTTTCTCATAGAAACATATGAAAAAATATATATTAAATAGTTAAAAGCACTTTTATTTTATAGATATTTAGCGGTAAGCGGAAGGGTTTACGGTAGTCCAATTAATGGTCAAAGCGAAGTAGTAGGCGAATATTCTCTTAGTAGTCCCCATGTTGAATGGGTAACAGCAGAAGGAGTATTTATTCATCCTAATGACTTTAAAGCCCAACATAATGCGCATACAGAATTATAAAATAAATTATTTTATGGCAAATATACAGAATATCTATTGTACATTACTACAAGTAGAAATCCATGTCAGCTTCTTTTTAACTTATATTATAAATCAGTATTCGATTGTTCTATATTTTTGTAAAGAAAGATTCTCCGTAAAAGTATGCAAGTTAATCTACCACATCAGGAATGAATAGAAAAATAACTCTTCCATTACAATAATTTTTAAGAACAATTGTAGAAAGCCAAATACCGTCATTTATTATTCTTATGATTTAGACAAAAGCTAAATAAAATCGTGAATAGTTTAATGCAGTCTGTATTATAGATATAAGAATGTAAGAATACAAAGTTGTTTCATCATTTAACTTATTTACTAGCTCTGAAAATTTATGTAAAGAGTGCAGGACCAGTCTGATTTTATTTGTGCAAATGTATATGTGTAGATGTATCGAATATATATGTGATATTTATTATAATATAATACAACTTGCAATAATCGAAAAACGTATATTTAATTCATTATACATATTTATACATGTATATATACATGTATCTATGAAATTGCATCATTTTTACACATGTAAGTTACAAGTATATATTCATACTTGTTTTAATTCATATTTCTCATTGAGATCCCTAGTTCCTATGAGACCGTTATATGGAAAAATTATATTTAAAAGACCATAACTACCAAAAATATCTCTCAGACTTTGTTTTCCTGATATGTTTGCGTACCGCTGTTTACCTGTCATACAAACGTGCAGTTTCCACGTTCCATATACCAGACAAATACATAAAATGGAAACTAATGTATCAAACATTGTCACCAGCAGTATGTAAGTATTTTCTCCTGAGTAAACTAATTTAACAAAAGCAATAGGAAAACAAAAGTTTAAAAATATGTTAAAAGAGTCTGTATCTGTTTTTAATACACGAGTAATATTTTCATATAAATATGGTCCAAGAGCGCATAACGAGTATATACATGTTAGCGATGTATAAAAACAAAATAAAATAAAATTGCCTACATTTTGTTTTATTATGCAAGCACGTAAGAAAAAACAATGATGAATTCGAAAATGAAAGCACTTTTTACAATATATGCAATGTTGCGTGGGTTTGCATGTATAATTCATGCATTTCTCGCAGTACCAATATTTATATCCTGTATTATTTGCTACCTTATTATATATTTCTCTTTTTGCCATTACTGCGACTTCCATAGTTGTTGCATTATGACATATACTGTATACTGAATACCAGTTCAAATATACTTGAATGCAAAAAAATACGAAGACTGGAGTAATTTCTTCGTTAATATACGTCGTTAGAACGATAACAATTAGGGTATACAGCAAAGCAACAAATGGACAAAACTGTATAATAGTTTGAGGAAATGCTTTCATATTTTGTATTTACAAAGCTTATTTGTATTTAATATACATCGAAATTAACTGTGGATAAGAATGATTGCCTCGTTCGTTACTTTTAATATTAATCCAGATTTATTATACATTAACCGTTTCTGCTGCAAAACATAAAATATATACAATGTATGTAAATTTTAGTATCGTTTACGTTCAGGTAGTTGTTAATCAAAACAGTAGCTAACATACTTTGTTAAACAACTTCGTAAACTTATGAATTTTTCATATTGCGAATTAAAGAAACGAATTAATTTTCTAAAAAGATACGAAGCGACGAGTACCATTATCGATCAACGAGTTTGCGTCAAATAAATATATTAGATAACCCAATTTCTGTATAATAGTGTTTATTGTTCTATAATTTATTAGAGGTTACCTGTACTGTATCCTATTCTGATGACATAAATTTGTAGAAATAATATTGTTTTTTCTTCGTAAAATATGAACATCATTTACTAATTCATTTTATTATGTTCCTTTTCCTACATACTCATGAAAAGAAAGTATGTATGTATTTATATAAGTACATATCAGTATTGTATGTATATACTTGTGTATTCTTCATGATCAGTAGTTCACAATCACAATGCATAATGAATCTGATGGAATCATTAACGCACGTAATTTCTACAATACATAATACTTCCATTTGTTCACCTATTTGACTTATTCATATGAACAAAACTTGAATTGTTAGATTGTTAACCAAAGAAAAATAATAGTATTAGAGGAAAGTCATAAATTATATCATTAGTAAATGAAATATCAATTGTCAGTATACTTTTCGTTATATTTCAAGAGTAATTAATTTTCCATGGTTAGAATTTATTTCATTTTATGTAATGGAAAGACAATGATTTCCAAATAATTATTATAAATAGTTGGATTTCATATTTATCTTGCTATAAAAACAATTTTTATTATGTTTGCTTACATTAAATTACAATATTATGAAAAACAGCAGACCTAATAATATAAGTACAATACAATTTTTGTGTAAAAATCTATTTTGTTTAATACTTAAAACGTTATACACGAGATTCTAAAGTATACTTTATTATAATAACATAATACAAAATCAAGATTAAATTATATATAAACATGTTCAAGATAAAGATAATCTTAGTAATAAGGTTCAATCAATTTTACGGCATTTAGACCATTAGATTTTTTTTTATCTGTCTGAGTGTCTATTTTACAAAATTGTTTTTTTGTATAATTTTTTATTTTCTCTAAAAAAAACATAACTTATTTAAACTATAAAATTCAAAAAAGATCATTCACAAACGTTTTGTTACAAATGTTTAAAAGATATTGACGATTATTTACATTTAATTTACATTAACGATTTCGTTACCTTTTCTGTTTAATTATACGTAAAACTATTTCTATTTAAATTGTGCATCGCTAATTTATGTGTACCCGTTTTGTATGTTACTGCAGATTGAGAGTACTGCTTAGAGATTGTACTATTTCTTAAAGATAATCCGTGCTATGTTTATAAAATTATGTAAACATATTGTAGGATGATTCGTTATCAAAATATACTACTGTAATCAAACTATGCTTATAGAAATAGAGGTTTTCCAAAGAGTGTAAAAGAAAAATGTCTGGAACCCTCATTTAATCTGATGTGTAGGCCATTTGAAAGCACGGTCTATTGTTCTTGTAACAACTATGGTTTTTGTTCTAACCAGTTAGCAACGATGACTTAGTCATAGCTTCACGAAAGTTCACCGATCGGTGCATTTTGCAGCCACAAATCGTGTATGAAATTATATAAATCATCGCTAACAGCCACCTGTATCAATGGTTTCTTTTGTTAATAATAATTGTTTATATTTTTGTTTAAACTTTTATATCGATTATTTTTTGTAGCATGCAAGGTAAAAACTCACCTTGTACGGTGTAGGATTCAAATTTCTTTTATGATCATTTCTAAGTGTTTTTAAAGATTCCTGAACTCTGTTTTTTATTTCATGCAATGTTGGTAGCGGTTGACATAATTTTCCATTTTTCCAATATACCTACGAGTTATTATTGCATTAATTATTTGTATTGTTTAGAGTGACTTAAATTTGGAAGTGATAAGTAAGAATGACAAAATTCAGAGATTAAATTTATGTGTCTTAATTTAATTTTACCTTATGTAACGACTCCACTCGTGTCGGTATAACATAAGCTCTCTTTGACTCCTGAAATGGATGTCTACAAAGAACTTTCTGTTTTACTTGGGGAATTTCTTCTGTCGATCTTTGTAAAAGATCAATTAAAGCATACCCATCTGCACCATATAATCTGAAAGCATCTTTTTTTCCTGGTATCGTTACTTTACCAACTTCTTGGCTGAGCTTAATTCTGGGTTGACCATTAACCTCAACCATTTTATAAACACAACCTAACGCTGGCTGTCTTTGACATGTCACCAGATGTGTTCCAATCCCAAAACAATCAATCTTATGGCTCTATAAAAACAATATTATCATAAAAATACAAAATTGTTTATAAAATGCATTTGCATTAGTGTATTCAATATACATGTACCTGTTCGTTTAAACTTAGAATAGTTTCTTCGTTGATATCATTTGATGCGCAAATCATCAATTTTGCAAACCAAGGTATGTTATATTTGGAAGCAATTCTTTCAAAAATGTCTCTCGCGGCATTACTTAAGTATGCCAAATCACCGCTATCTATTCGTATACCAATGGATTTATAACCCAAATCATTTAAAGCTAATGCCACGGCACAGAAGTTTAGAAGACCACTCCTGAGTACAGAATTTTGTTGCTATTATTAATTAAACATACATTCGTACATAATTACAGAAACGATCAAACGCAATACAAATTTACACAAAAATTATTTTACGCAACAATCTTTTTAAGTACATACCTTACATTCTACATAAAAAGTATAGATATATTGTAACGATCAAAATTTCTACATAGATCAAAATTATAATGTAAGTAGTAACATTAAAATCTACCATAAGCATTAAAATTGTATATTAAATATGAGTATGAGACATGCACTATGGTTGATTAAGTGAAAACACACAAAGTCCCTACCGATTTAATATGTATATGGCAAATAACTTTGAACAGAACATGCTAACAATTCCAAAATTTTACAGATTATGAAGTTTTTGTTAACGGGATTTAAATTTTGCATTATTTCATCAAGATTTTTTTAAATTACAAGTTACGTTTATCATGACCTTTTTAATATTAAATATATATATTAAATTATCGATTTAGTTGATTAAATGGCTGAATTGGGAAGGGTACTATATAAGGTCGTACATTTATAACAAAGACGGTATACAACTTGCAAAACTTGTACCAAAACATATTGTTATTGTCCTGTTCCTTTATTTTGTATGATACGAGAATGACTATGCAAAATACAGATTTGCCCGCTTTACAGAATTATTTCTTTCTTTGTCTATATCAATCATATTAAATGTAATAATATGTTTAGAACATAATCATTTTAATTAACCATCAGAGTGTAATTTTAAGCATTAAAAATGACTGATAAATATAATAAGTAAATATAGTATTTTCGGATCCAATAAAACGCAAACATTAAATTGAATAAAAGTTCTAGCAATGTATATCAATTATTTATGAATGTAATGTAACTACCAATTGTATTTTGTAGATTTAAAAAAAAAAATGATGATTTATCCTGCAAAGCAGACAGAGGGGATAATATCGTACCTCACATAGAGCTCACCCAATTCGCCTCGTCTTAAAAAGCCATTCTTGTGATGCGAAGTCGATTCTGATATAATTGGATTGTTTCTGACGCCATTTTGGGCATGTGTATTGGACCCATTTGTTAGACTTTTATTCTTTACATTTAGGCTGGCTATACATGCCTGTCTCTTGGCCGAGGCTTCGATACTATAAACACACTCCTGTTAGGCTACAGTGTGCACATGTTTCATCATGCCTGCTTTGTGAATTTGTAATTAGAATTACTAATGGACGTATTAAATCCGTCAAATATATTTTTCGTTTGAAGGGAATATACCAATGAAATACTACTACTTCTACTACAAGTTTACAATTGGTCAAAGACTACAAAAAATTTGATACTAAATTTAGCACATTGCTCTAATATGTTAATAATATAATCGACATAGAAACATGACAGTGTACATTTTAATACAATTCTAAATGCATACATGCAGATAGTCAAACATAGATGCGAATCTAATGTTAGGAAAGTAGATTGTCCGTGTATAGAAAGAAATTAAAATACGATATTTACATACTTATACTAAATATACAAAAGAAAGACTTGTTAAATGATTTCAGAAAGAAGAAATGTGTGACAAATAAAATATAAATTAAATAAGCATAATGCCATACCTTTTCACGTCATATGTGTCTACAAGAGCGACAAATCGTTGCGGGAAAGCAATAGCATAACTAATCAAAGCAGCTAATTCTCCACTAGAAGCCTCAGAAACTAGTGTTCCTACGTCAGCCGCAATGGAGTCTCGATGTTTGCACGCTATGTCTAGAAGATCGTAAACCTCTCCTGTTTCTTTATGTGCTAACGTCTAAAAAAAAAGAAAAAAACAAATATTAATGTAAAATATAGTACTGGTCGATGAAATCACATAAATCATTCACTCACTTTTTCTTGCAAATCATCGAGTCCAGTAAAAGATGTAATGTATGCGTGTGCGTGTGTTCCGCTTACAGGAATATTATAAAGCTTTCCTGCTAGTACATTACTAGTGCCATCAAAACCGCCTAAAAAATATTAATTTCATTAAAAATGAAAACAAAATGAATGAAACATACATACCAGGACAATTTATACGCTACAAAGTTTTCGTAATATATGTACAAAATATGGGTTCTTTGTGTATTATTTGATACATAAATTGAGAAAATCAGCATACAAAAACAAGGATGTGACAACATTTCTATAATGTCAATAATTTGGTTTTTTAATTTCCATCTATGTACAAGTATATACAGTTTTTTATGTTCTTTTATGTGACTTTTTATGCGAGTGTAAAATACGTAGGATATACACATCCAGATATATTTAACCTGACCTCTTAACTGTTACTCATCACCAAGGCAGTACCAACTGTTACAGAATGGTGCTGCTGCTTATTGATTTTGATTCAGAGAAATTCTAAAATATATGGTAAAAGAAGTGGATGATGTTTCAGTTTCATGTATTTCATATATAACGAACAGCATGTCACAATTGAATATATTATATGTGAATAATGAATACAACTAAGCTGAAAACAGATTGATCTAAAGCATACCGATAAGAAATGAAAGTGGAAAATATATTTACCAATATAACTATATTTAGATGCACTCAATCCACCATCAGGACCCTGAGCTCTTCGAAGGCCAAATTCTAACAATGTTATATTCTTCCCAGCAACCATACGGTATCTGGCTGCGTTAGTTGCCATTAAACTTGCATAGTTAACTAAGGTTAACAGTGTTGTTTCCAAAAGTTGTACCATTATTAATGGACCTTCTACTCTTAGTAATGGTATTCTGCATAACATATCAATTTGCATTGAAGTTTTAACTTATTAAGGTTTGACGTTTCGGCAAATATGTAATGTCGATAAACATTCGAACATTAACTCTAACTGCTGTCTTAAGAGCAAGAAAAAGTACCCTAAACGATGGCAATGATGACGATGATTAACATAACTGAATAATATTTGCGGAAGACATGCAAGTTTCACAGACTTTATACTAACCGAGGAAAGACAACTGAACCTTCCTCCATGGCATATATCGTAACATCTTTCGGGGTGAGGTCTTTCAAGTATTCAAAAAACCTTTGATCAACCGACAATGGCATCGTTGATTTCAAGTATTCGATATCTGGAAAATTAATATTTTGTATTTAAAGTCTGTATATACATATAAAGTGTTTGAAAATATACACGAATACGTACCGCTAGAAGAATAACGAAATTTTTCCAAAAACTTAATGCACTCTTCCAACCCAGCAAAGATAGTAAATTCTCCTTGAAATGGATTTTTACGAAAATATAGATCAAATACAGCATGATCGTTCATTTTTCCGCTTTTCCAATAAGCATACGCCATTGTAATCTGATACAAATCTAAAATCATAATATTTACATTTAAGGGACAAATATATATATTATACTATATGTAAACAGGTATTAAATTCGTGTTGTGTTTGAATATACAATACATATTTTATACTTTTATTTCTACGCTTTTTCATAAGTTGTTTAAATAATAAATATATTTACAATAAATTTTCATAAATTACATTAAGGATAATTGGGTATAACAACGATACATGATTCTCTTTTATATCTTTTTTAATATTTCACGTCTGAATAAACTGAATCATAATTAGTGCACTATTGCCGATAAGGCAATCTTTCGTTTAAAAGATAAATCAACAACGAAGCTCGTTATACTCATCGAATTAAACGAGAATAATATATGAAATGTTTGGATGAAAATCATTGTGAATCGTTCATGTGGATTGTAGTTTGAAACACCACGTGGTTACATCATTATCAAAATATATATCAGCAGAGTAAACGATGAAGTAACATAGAACCGCGTATTTTGAGGTTACTTTTCGAATTCTCCCATCGCGATATGATAATTCTGAAGATAGGTATAGAAATCATAAGTACCTGTCAGAAGTGGTTGCACAACACAGTTCTGACGCGAGTGACACCACGATTTTCCCTCGTCATCTGACATTTTTCGAAATGATTTTAAGGATCCAATTGAAAGAAAAAAAAACAAAATAAAAAGGCGGATATATATATATATATATTCTTGTCCCGACGATAGCAAATGTTACGCCAGTTATTCAGCGATAACCGGTCAAGCACTGTTACCGACGAACTAACATGTTTCAACGGTGAACATCGTATTATACGTTTGGTCTCTCCGTACACTCTCAGAATCGATAGGAACGTTTGAAGGACGTTACGAACAACGCGACCTGTTAATCCGCCATTTCCACCAATAGTAGAGGTTCTTCTTAAAAAATAACTAGGAATCGGGTTATCTATTTCGTTCGACCACGTGAACGCGCTGAAAGTATTGTGATTTTTCGCTGCGCCACCGATCGAATCTTTCCTTCCTTTTCCCTTTATCCCCCTTCAATACTTCAATTAAAAACATTTCGCTAAACCGATCATAACTTTTTTCTCGATTTCATTCATCTAAACGCATATCTCATTCATACTAATCACACTTAATTAACATTCTTATTTAGATTCATCACGGTTTAACGCGGTTAATTAATAAGAGCTACAAAAGCTACACTGTTACAGTTTCCCTGCTCGGTTTCTTCTTCGAAACGACTACACTTTTAATCAATTGTATTTCCACAGTTACTTCTAATCCTATTGTTTTAAATGTTATCTTATAATTCGTTTCTCTCGTTTACAGATACAACATGACAGAAATTATATATTGATTCTTTAAAAAAATATCTGCGACATAAAAAATTTCGAAAAGCAAAGGTTCAAATGAAAAATTCATCGATTGTATTTTGTTTAAAAGTTACAGGGAAAATAAATTGTTCGATTCATTGTTGCCACAAACTATTCTCATCGTTTATTATTCTCGCAATTAATTTGAATACAAGTGACGATAGTATTGAATACTTGTTCGCATTTGTAAAAACCTGTATCTTTCCAAGATTGAATTGCGTCAAGCGATGCCGAGGTGGCACAAATAAGAGAGTACAATTATAGTGCATGAAAACCGTGCAGCGATCAAGGGATCGTTCGATTAAACACGTATCGTTAGGGGCAACGTGTCCGTACACGATGACCTTGCGGTAATGATACGGCATTGCAGTTCTTCCTCTTTCGAAGCGCGAAACTTTCGAAACATAGAAAATTACCGTGATAAGTTTAAAATACGGTCGCGTGCCGTTACATCTATGATGCAACATCTAAGTTGGACTTTTTCCATGTCCATCAATTTCATTCCTTCAATTGTCGGTTGCGCAATACTATATCCCGCAATTTCCTCAAGCTGGATTCAGATTTTAACGATCACTTTTTCTTAGGCTATACGTTTTCTGACAGCCTTGCAAACGACCATCAAAATTTTACAGAAATTCATCGTGCGTGTAATCATCTATCCCAAGTTTTCTTTCAAAATTTCCAACGGAATTATTAATTGCTTTGTAAACGGCCCTGGCCATAAATTTTATCACGCGGTTTCCTGAATTGCTGCTTATGTTACGTTTACTCGCGATATCTTTAAGCTGTTTGTTGATACGTATTAGAACAGAAATACATAGATAGAAAACCTCAACGATGACCTTCATTTCGTTCGCGATAAGAATCCAATCATTAAACTTGAAGACCACAATGGAACGGATCGTTTGCTTGATTTTTAATGCGATTCACTCTTGGTATCCAGACGTTGGAATATTGAATGAATTTCAAGCGTCATAGTCGTTTAATTCAATAATGTAGTACACGCTTGGCAGCAAACGTATTCGTATTTCGTAGTCATTCTTATCGGCGTGAATATGCACATTTCAAGTTGTCGGTAGTTAGGTAGTTACTGTTGTTCTAATCAGTCACGTTTTTTCCGCGATAATAGGAACTGCTATTTCTTCTAAAGAAAGGAATCAGTAAATAAGAAAATGTTTTTCGGATCGTAACGTACTTGAAGCGGAATAAATTGATTAGTAACGTTGCGGTCGATGACTTAACGTTATGTTGGAATTCGGACGAACAATTGTTTTTAAATGCATCTTACGTGGCTCGCTACGAGAGGAGTTCTGTGGTTACAGTAGAAAAATAAAAGCTCAAAACGTTGTGATTTTAGTAAAAAAATGGGAAAGGCGTACTTTATCTAAAATTGAACTTTGAACTGCAAAGCACATCTCGCAGAGTAAGATGTAAACTTTACGAGATATGAGAACAAACGATAACAGATAAAACGGGAGGCTTGACTTGTAAGCAGTTCGTTCTAGCTTTTTCTATGAATTTATTCAAAGTTATATTAGCGAAGAAAGGTAAATTTTTTAATATTTTTCGTTATAATAAGAATGATATATTATGGAAAGCATTTTTTATGTTGCACGATATAGTATACTCTTTTTCCTGTGAGAGCTAATAGTGCTCCATACCTCCACTGACTTGTAAGACCCAGTTCGAGGAACTTTGTTTTACAATTAGAATACACAGAACTGGAGTAGGTAGGCGACCGCAGTTCGTTCAAACATCTAATTTCTCTCGATTAAATTCAACGGGAGGAAAAGGAGTTTAAGGCATACTATCTTGAGCGCTGACTCATGTCTTGTGTCTGGTACATACTGTACCTCTAACGAAAGAGTCAAGCTAATTATCGCAGTCATTGTTTAAGAACGCGACAACTGAGAAGAATTCTGATACTTTTCCGGCATCGCGTAATTCGTTGCTTCTGAATGCATACCGATTCATATCCTCCAATTGCGTTTCGCTCATATCAGAGGCAGCAACTTTTTTCGTTTCAGCGTTCCGTGAATATGTTCCTAAGAATCCTGAGTCGACCGACATTCCGTCTGTTAATTGATTAATAAGATAAAATACAGTCGCTGGTTCTGTCTGCCGACCAACCGGCTTATCAATGAGACAAAAAAGTATCATCGACTATCACCAGTCATCGTTGAGTGCATCCCGCACTGTCAGCGAATGAGTTTCCATACAAACTTTTCGCCCTGATAGATAGCAAACACACACTCACCTATACTAATATACTGGTTTTAGTACCAGTGGCGCCATCGGTGGCAAATCGCTCAAGTTTCTCGTAAAAATAGTTCTTACTGTTGTAGCTAGATGGCGCCACCAACTACAGAGTCGATAATTATTGCTCCATTGAATAATTATTCGTAAAAATGAGAAATTTTTCCATATTAACTACTATATTGTAGCGTTATAAAGCAAAAAGTCGTATTTATTATGCATTTATAACAAATAAAAAATAATTTATGAAAGATGCTGGTGGCGCCATCTTACAGAATTAGTGGGAACTATTTTCGCTCAAAACTTGGGCGTTTCGCTACCGATGGCGCCACAGGTACTAAGATTAATATTATATAATATATTTTTTTAAATGATAAATTGGCATAATCACACATTCGCTAAACAATTCGTTTAATGTCAAAGAAACACTCTTATTAGGAAGGGCAAATTTTTTTCAAGGGCACGAATTGAAAAGAACAATCAGTAACAAGACCAACTTTTTATACAATCATTTTTATTAAGTGTCACAATTGATATTATCGATAACTCATACCTCCATTCTACAAGTAATCATCCAGTAATTGTCTGTTGAAATACACTACGTTAATTTACTGCGTTACTGGCACTTCTGAGATATTTTTAATCGCTAGTTATATACTAGTCGCCTTCGGTGTGTGGACGTTAGAAAAATACTCAATTTTTGACTCTTTGCAGCAAGAGCTGAGCAAATATATTTAAAAAGGCTATCTAAAGGCGAAAGGTTATCTAAAATTTAACGAATTCAAAATAACGTACACGTGATATTAACTGAAAATGTATTTTTTGTTTAATTGGTACGATGATATGCATTGTACTAATACGTATAACAAATTTTGGAAGCAACATATTCGGCAGTCTTGGGATCTGAATCAGGAGTAATCAGAACTACGTGAGAGGACAGACTGGTTACCGGCGGGGGGGGGGGGGGGAATAATTTGCTCATCCTTGCTCTAAGAACTAGGTGTAAAAATTGAGCCTTTAGAGTAAGATCGTGGCTGATCTCATTTTTTTCTTTTCACATTATCAAAAATTGATTATTTTCAAGGATATACGATTACCCGATTATCTTTATCTACGTAACTATATAACTGGCAAGCGTCCGCAAAAACGTAATCTTAAAATATACGATTATATTTCTAATAAGCCAGGGTGACCATTGATCATACATCGAAGTTATCACGTTGTTCGAATGTTGAGTCGATCGCTATTTAACAACAAAGTAATAATAATGTAACGTTTCAATTAAAAGTTTCGTTGAAAAGTAAATTTAAATTATTCGTGTATGATTAAATCGGAGAAGATATTCTGATAAATAAATTTACGATACAACTTCCGTTTCTTGTTACGACTGATTTCATTTTCATCTTCAACGAGACGAAAGCTTGGTCACCTTACTACGCTAATGTAGCAACGTATTTACACAGTTTTCCTGGTGTAAGCCCTAGATACGTATTTGTTACGCATCAATTGTTGAACATTTTTTTGCGTGTTTCATCCCTTCTTCCTGTACTATCTAACGCATGTGCAAATGTGTACAATATACGGAAGCACGGACTATGATTTCTACAATTACATGACTCCTCTAAACTTATCTATAATTTCCCTAAAACTACTCAGACTTTAGTTAACATTTACTTTAATCGTTAATCCAGCTTAAAAGAATACTATTATAATCGTTTGTAACGTCAGCTACGGCTTCTACATTGTTTTATAGTTAATTTATTAATACTGCATTTGAATAAACTAGACTCATCTTTTATGACAATATGGCCATTGATATCGTATACTATTCTTACATTTACATTTTATTCTAATTTGACACAGAATGTTCGTATACAGTCTTAACGTTACTCAATGATGATGTTCACGTTTGCGTTAAAAATATGCCTCAAACTACAAAATGTCCATTTTCACGAATGTTTCTTTCTTTCCGTTCTTTTCTTTTGGTCACTTTCACCTTTTCATATAATTATCATCTTATGAAATAATTGCTGTTGAACAGCTCTTTATATGAACAAAATAATGTTTTTTTTTTTTTTTTTGTTTAGAACCTTCGTCTTCGCTCGAGTTTATTTACCTTTTGTTATAACAAGGAAACAAACTGTTAAATAAATATGAAATGATATCAATGTTCAAACCTTTGTACCTTTTGTTTTTTGAAAAATACTAAATACACGCTGTTTAAAAATATTACGTTCAACGCCTAGTTTACGATTACAAAAGATAAGTGCAAATGAATAATATTACATTTTCAATTGTACTGATACTATTTCCTTTTTTCCGTAGATAGCTACAATACCAAATTTAAATAGTACTTAACCCACCGGAATACGAATTAACTGTTGTATTTGAAAGATACTACCGATTTATAAAAATCACAGTTACATTGTATTTTACTAACTTCTTTCACTACCGAACAATCGTTACTTTCTTCTATACAAATCATATTTTTAGAACATTATGTTTTATTGTGTATTCGTTATCGATGGGTTAATTTGTAGCAACGTGGAATTATTTGAATAATACTCCACTTGAATTTAATGGTGTTGCCGGCATCATGCTATCAATGATGCTCGTTTTAATTCAAGTATTATATTACTGTAAAATCGTTTCTAAGAAATTGTATTAAGGGCGGTCTAATTGTAATTTCTACCTTCAAAGGTGAAGAAGAAAATGTATACAAGTTAAATGTAGATAAAGGAGTAAAAAATACAAATTTCTTACTTTAACTAGAAAGTTTAAAACCTATTATTATTATCACTTGTACTATGTACGAGTCAATAAATAATAATTACTAAATTCATCAACAACAATGGAAGTATACGTCCAGCAACATTGATAAGATAAAAAATTAAAAAAAATATATTCGTTTGTTTCTATTCTGTGTAAAGGCCTAGTAACGGCATAAGAACAAACAACTAAGTGCCTGTTAGTAACAATAATATACCTAACACTAACTGTAAACAATTCAATTAAAGCATACAAATTTCTGTTGCTTTTCTCGATAGCACCATATTCAAAACTAAAGCTCGTTCTCTTCATAATAGCTATCACGATCATTCCACAAATAATTACTTTCCACTACAACCATTCTTCGTATTGACTACCCATGGTTCATCTCATCAAATCGGCCGCTCTTTGTCTGTCCCGATGTACTTCTCGAGGATGCATTCTTTTACGATGTGAAAAACAGTTCCCGGAACTTGCAAAAGCTTTTGGACAATATGGACATTGATACGGTCTCGCACCTGTATGTTGATTTATATGAAATTTCAAATCCTGATTTCTTTTAAACGTTTTATCACAAAGAGGACACGCGTGTGGTCTCAAATCCGAATGTGTTATACTGTGAGCTCGTAGCGTAGAATTCGTTGGATAAACTCTTCCGCATACATTGCATGGAAATTGTATCCCACCATGGTATTCTTTGTGTCTGAATAAATTTGACTGTGTTTTAAAACTGAAAGAATAATTAATGGCTTTATTCTTATTTATTTGACTTGATGTAGCTTTGTACAGTAATATTAATTCTTTGATACAAATACTTACATTCTACCACATATATCACAACCATACTTTCCTTTAGGCCGATGTGTTTCCAAATGCACTTTTAGATTTCCCTTAGTAGAAATTTTTTTACTACAAATCGGACAGATGAAATTTCCAGACGAGTTGCTGTCAGTATTCATGTGAAGCACACCGTTTGTAGAATATACTTGTTGAGATCTTAGAATAGGCTTTCCATCGAGTCGTTTATCTTTAGGCAAATGAGACCATAAGTGATTTTGTAGACCAATTTGAGATATAAAGGATCTAGCACATATCGTACATTCGTGGGGTTTTGACGATACATTAGAAACAAATTCGTCATCTTCGTGTGATCTATCATTATTATCATCCCTTATCTCTTTTTTTATTTTTTCAATTCTATGGGAAATGTATCTAATTTAAAAAATATACTATCTTTTTAGATCATTAATACTAACGTAAATAGTCTTACTTATTCATTAACGGTAATGGTTCCGGTGTATCTACTCTTGTTATTTTTTCTTCTGTATCCGATTCCTCAGAACTTTCCGATTCTGACTGTTCCATACCACATTGTAAAAATAACATTGGATCTACTTTGACTTCCATTTCTTCCATACTCGGAGTAGGGCATTTATCATCCTGTGATATTAGCTCCGATGGTCCCAATGGTTCACCTTCGGTCAGAATTTCTATCGCACCCTGTAAAGTAACGTAAGTTGAATGTATATCTGTTAAGTAACATAAAATTCGTAATAATTACAATTTACTTTTGTTAATATTGTATGTAATAGCCCCCGATCTTCCATCTTCTTTGTTGCATCCTGCGCATCTTTAATACTTTGCAATTCTACATCTTGCTCAGCACTTGTATTGTCTGTCGTGTTATATAATTGCAATTTTAATTTCTCTTGTGTTCTATATGCCATCATTGCAAAACGATGAATGTTTTCTAATCTCTTAATGCATGTAGCGCATACCATCTTTGATAACTTATCTTCTGTAGACACCTACAATGTAATTAATATTTTATTTATAGTACTCATGAAAAAGTGATAAATAATAAATGGTAATTATTGAATGAATTAAGAAGCAAAGGCTAATTTTTAAAAATTTCTAAATAGAGATCTAACAACCTTCCTCTCATAACACAACTTTTATACAGAATAAAAATTAATTTTATTGCCTATGTCAACAATGAAATTTTTCAATTGTAATTGAAAATAATATTTGATCGTAATGTATTTATAGTATACAAAATGTTTCGTGTATCGTTAATTTCAAAAAAACGTCACTTATTGTTTATGAGTATTTTGTTATACCGAATTATATTTATAGATGCGCTAGTCGTATAGCGCATACAGTATACTTATTGTAATCAATAAAATGCTAATGTTTTAATATTTTTGCATTCTATAATAACGAATTCTTCGAAGACCTTATTTCGAAATGTACATTCGATATTAATTTCGATTAAGTTAATTATTTCGTTAATTCACAGGTACGCATAAAATTTGATTAACATTTCGCTTGCTAAAATGCATTTTTTCGTCGACCGTAATAATGCTGTTCTCGGAAAGTAGTTGGTTTGTAAATCTTTCACAATTAATAAATATGAGTATCAATATTTCGAAATAACGTTAAACATTTCGTGAAATAATATTATAAGTTATCTCGAGTTATTTTGTATAAAAAATTTATATTTAATTAATTAATCGATCCACTTATTATTATAATAATAATTCTTTTCGAATGAATTATATTGTAGGTTGTAGGTATACTCGTTTGTTTGTAATATATGTAGCATTTGTAATTTTCATCACGTGTGAGATACTGTTAGATTTTCAAATATGACAGACGTTCCCGTATTTCAACTTTAAACGCACGTAAGTGCAGCAATTGTTTGTCACGTGTATGGAAAATGGCGAAAATGGGATACGATTGATGATAGTGCCGTTGATATTTCGAAAAAATCTCGAGACACAAGCGTTAATTCAAGTGTATAGATGCAAGCGCACACATAACGATGATCGCGGTAATTCGCATGGAGCCGCGGTTAGACTCACCAAGATGTACAGATATTTTCGTATTTTGGTCTGCAGGTAGTGCCGTCTACCATCCTCGGCGAAAATGTGGACCCCATCGTTTCTTGGTATGTCACTAGCACAAATTCGACAGTGGAGCTTGTCCTCCCGATCGCGCTCAAAATCGCGACCCGCCGTACCCATTTCAAAAAGAAAGAAACAAAATGAGCAAGGTATCACTCACACGAACGAAACCTTGTCTCTTTCCACCGATTTATATATTATAAACAATCACAGATTAAAAATATTACGTTAAACGATTTCACGTTTCACAACGTTAAATTCATTGCTTACTATTATATTTTCCCACCCCCCTCTCTGTTTCGTTATCTTAGCACCTCGATGAAAAACGTCGAAAAGTTTCGGCAATAAAACTTTTCACCGATGCATTTTTACGACCTGCCAGCTTGTCGGAGAGGGTTGATTATTCTAACGATTTTTTTTTACTTATGAGTCGCCCGGATTGGGTGAGATTACTCCGGCACAACGTTGACGCTTTAAAAACGACGTCGGCGCCGGGCGTCGGCGTCTCTCTCCCGAAACGAGTGCTCAATACAAAATATATAATAGCATTCGTCGATTTGAAAAACATATGTATATAACCAATTGTTTTATTTATGGATCTCGCTCGTATTAAACGATATTACCGTTACGGATGGCTACGTAATTTTTATTGCAATCTCTAGCTATTTACTCCATAATTAAGGATTTCTCGTGAAATAGTTGGATACGCATTCCTAAAATACTACCCCTTGCTACAAATAAAGAATAAAATGTATCAGCGCGGTACTCTTAATTGGTCCGCCATTTTCTCTCACCCATTCGTTTGTATTTTTCCATTTTCTACCTTCGCCATTATGCGACTCTCTGTTAGATTCTTTCTTTTAATAGATTCGCAAACTCGTATCATTAGAAATAGATCTCGATCGATATTATTCGTCGGAAGTTGCTTGATATCCTCCAAATTAATGACAATTTTTCCAAAGTTTCCCGCCATTTGTTCACTCGTGTATTACTACGCGCTTGGAGGGAGGGATAAATGTGGACGTTTTTGTCCGTGCGGAAAATAGTTCCAGATACTTGCGAACGAACAGCCTCCCCCTTGGATATGTTACGGCCCCATTTAAAAAAATCAATACTTAATAATTAGCAATTAATGTACGCGCCTCGAGTACATATGAACGCTATCTTGTCTTCAGCAGATTCCGATGTACGTATGGGTTTAGTTGTTATTTAATACTCGATTCCACTTTTCTAAATGCATAACTAATAAATATTTTTTATAATCGTCTCTATATATTTTATGAACTTGACTTTTTTATTTTTCTAAATTCTTCTTTACTCTAAGAAAATTAAATTACCGACCAAATTAATAATGGTATCAAATTTCTAAAAATGATTAATTAATACATATTAGGTTTATTTTACTCAGAATACAGAAGTTAAGCTCACAAACAATTAAGTAAATATAAATTGCATACAACTATGAAAGGAATCATTTTTATGTATTTCATGTAATATATACATTAATGCAGTATCATTTTTTCTCAAACATTGTCGTGTTACTATTAGTATCGTGACATGCAAAAAAAGATTTGTCAAAGTAAAAATGATATATTTATTAAATAAATGTTAAATGAAAATCAGTATCACAAAATCGATTAATTTATGATTAATAATGGATTATTACTTTATGTTTAAAAATCTTGTAAAGTATTATTAAATTTCAGCTAATTTAACATTTTGCTTTATTCTGAATTGGCAAGAATAACTTAAATTCTGCGGGTAATTCGTCTTCGGAATATAATCTATCAGAAAAATATACTCTTCGTATTCTACAATTTGCATGAATCTGAACTCTTAACGTTTCCACATAATTTGTTCCATATGCACGTCTAGTAAAATCAGCTAAGTTAAATTGAATTTGATTCCATCCATCGTCCAATCTCATTGGCATTGTACAAATAAATGGTTTCACTCTAGTTGTAGATTGATAATTACTAGCTCGAAATCTACGCCGAACATTCTTGTCATCAATTACCTAAAGCGAAGAATTTGTAACAGATTGTTGTTTAATAATGTATAATATTATAATTGAATAATTAAAGTAAGAGTCTTACCTGGACTTCAAACGTGAAGTATTTTTTTAAATTCTTAATAATCATCACCAGAAATGGCAATTTTATACCCAACGTTTTTCTGGGGTCTGCTGGACATGTGATATATGTAGTACTAACGTTACTACCCAATATTTCCAATACTAAACTTTGTATATCGTTATCCGTAATTCGTTTTATATGTCCGTTCCGTACTTTTTTATCCCAAATCTGCAAAGGCTTACTACCGATACTATATAAGATCGATAGAAATCCACTTTGAAAAGTATTCTTAAACATGTTCTCTTGTTTACGATTTCTCCCTAAATTTTATTTAATTTTCCTCCAACAACTTATTATTATTGAAAACATGCGCTTGAAGAATTTAAGAAATTTCGTATACTTCTCGGTGTTGACAACTTAACCTCCATTCATTTTTATAACACTGACATCCACTGAAATGTTACATATCTCAAATCATTCTCTTCTCGAAACCGTAAATTAACATGCATGACATTGTCCAATAAACAAAAAACATTTCTATTTCAAATTAACATTTTCATTAAGGAATTTTAGTCTCTAAATAACATTATCAATGAGCATAACCTATAAAAATTTGTGTTTGATCAATGTTGCTATTAGATGTATAGCGGAATCGAACATCGATCGATTGTTTCACGTTTATCGATATCAAACTTATCGACTTTGTACTAAACTGTACTAAAAATAAATATTATTTTAAAAATTTGTCCATGGATTTTTACGCAAAAGATAAAAGTAATGTAAATGTTAACGTTTTTACAATCGTTTATTGATGTCAAATACAAACCAATAAAGTTTAAATAAGCAGTAGACATCTATGTATTAAATGTTTTTTTTTTTTGTTCTTTAACGGAATTAACGATCTGTCGGCATAAAAAAACTATCAGTGTAAAATCTCTACTGCCATAATTCTACTTCTTAATTTTCCGTTAAGATCGTTCGCTTTTTGATCAATGTTACTAAAAATAATATTTTGCGACGGTACTCTTTTAAGGAACGAACAAGAGAAACAAATTGACTAACTCGTTTTAAGAGCAATTTTCATTTTCCATGCATTAATATAAAAAACAATCGAGAATCAAGATCTCCTTTACGTTTTGTTCGTGGAAAAAAGGATGATCTCATTATTTTTGATAAATGTAGATACGTACGGAATTACGAAATTAAATTGAGAGTGATTTAAATCTTTTGACGGGAATATTTTGACAATTTATTTGTGTTTTCGTTTGCTTCCACTGAAATTATCTCTAACTATCGGTACAAACCTATCAAAATTTAACATTTGACTCATTAAACATAGACATTAAACTGCTATAGTCCTTTAAAATATTATATACGTGATTCAATTTGTGTGCATTTTACGTATTAATAACTGAAACAAAAAAAAAAAAGAATATACATACGTTGCTACTAATCGGTAATTTTCAGTTCAATTACAATTAAATACGCAGTTTTCGGTATCGCTACAGTAACTGCCCGATAGTTACAGATTTGAAAGGAAAGCATTGTTTGTAAAATGAACGTTTAGAATGTGACCTTTTATTCTACTGTATTCGGATTATCTCTTGGAATCGGATTTATCTTCGCATTCCATCGAGATACTTCCACTTCGTACATCTTAGTAATTAATACTTTATTCGCTTATTGTTACGACTAACTATTGTATTATAGTTTACGCGAATAAAATAGGTCCTGCGATAGGGGTATGCTTTCATAGGATTCGTGTTGATTTTTTTTCATTTGCTGACAAAAATTATGCAAAAGAAGGAGAGGCTATCGCTAATCTTTTCCCTCGTATTCTTTTATTCGCAACAATGAATCCCACGTGAAGAAGAAAGGCCCACCTATGAAGCGATATCTCAGCAAAAGGAACATTCATTAACTCGTCCTCGAGCGACCTATAAATTATTTCGGAAGGTATTATCGCGCATTACGAAAGGTTATCTGAAAGAAAAAAGTATTGTAAACCGCATAGGTAATAGTTCTTTTTTCCCATCTTCGTAACACGGAGCGTATTACAAATTATGGAAAACCAATCGTATTACCGAAATTTAACAATACCGCTTTGCTTATGTTTTTTTTTCTTTTTTTTCCGTTTTTTTTTTTAATGGCCGAATATCATTCGAGACATTTTTTGAATAATTTAATGGGAATAATGAATGCAAGATAAGTCTTCGACGAAAAAAGTGGTATCGTAGTCTTCTTCTTTGTTTATTAAACAGAGTTACGATTAAGACTATTACCTTGATTCATTATTATACTATTTTTTTTTTTAATTTTCGGTAATAAGACAAAATTTACAACGTCGTTTCAAGAATGTTGATACGTTATTTCCTTAAGCTTAAATCAAACGTATTTCTTTAATAATTATGACGCAACGGAACAAATTTTGAATTATTACCATTTTCAACTACAATTTCCAATACATCCAAAATCATTTTTTATTCTTTTATTAGATAACGGATGTATGAAAATTTGAATGTCCTTTACTTCTCAATACCTTGCAAAACACGAATATAACCCCAGAGTGCTTCTAGGCCCCACCAAAAAGCAAATTGGGGCAATAATATGAATATATCACATTACCTTTCTTCAATTTTCAAGATTTAAACGGAAACTCGTAGAAAAGTCGAGAAAGTTCGAGTCCCCAATGAATTTCCAAAGCTTTACTATTTCTTTCTAATTAATACTGTCATTTATAATTGTTGTAGTACTATCATACTATTAATTTAATAGAAAATGAGAATCAATGGCTTTACAATTTTTGCAATCTTCTTCCATTTGATTATTCGATTGGAGAGACGTAACTTTTCGAAGATTCTAGACGAATTTCATTTTGAAAAAAATGCATTTCTTTTTACATACCAATAGTTATATACAATGTCAAAATAATCATTAATAAAGATTCCGCTTTGATCAACAAAACATTTAAAGAATTTTGTATGAAAATGATTTACTCGTTTACATGCGCTCATGTCAGGTAATACGACATAATAGACATTCTATTCGCGAAGAATGAGAAAGCCAAGGATTAAATAAAAAAAATTAAGAGATGGCCGCATTTTATCTCAGATTTCAATAGTTTCTTCACTTAACGTGTCTACAATATTTCTTTGATCATAAACCACGATTCTTTGGAGAATGACCATTTTCGTTCAATTACGATGTTTAACAATTTATGTTACTTGATTGTGGTCCTATCAATGAAGTTATAATAAATATGACATAATCGATGTTCACTGTTAGGATCACAATCTTGATCAAGCACCAATAATTCTTTTCCAAAGGTACTACTGTGTACTCTTTAAGCGTAGAAAAATGATTTAAATTAAATACTCCATACGCAATAGTATGCGCAAGCTTTACGCTTTGTAATCGTCATAGGAGTCTATCGAAGACTGTTAGGACTGATCAGATGTCTCCGCTTCTAAAAGAAAGACATTTTTCTGTACTCTCATCAATGACTTCTTAGTTACTGGTGCTTGAGCAGTTTTCTGGTGCGATTAAGGCACTGCAAAAGATTGATCCTCCATAAAAAGCTATTGATCTTCAAAATACGCGATCCATGAAGTTAAAGAAGCAATGGCGTAATGTGCGAAGACTGAGTCATTGGTGATTCAACGTTTGAAGTTACCATGTAATAAGGCCCAGATAGAGATTGAGGAGAGCTATTTTCCCACCGATTAGTTCATTCAACAACTGTAATATATACAAATACATTAATAAAAATAGAATGTACGATTAGGACTACGTAAAAATAATTTAGAAAGATTACGTAAAAACAACGTACATACTAATAAAAACAAAACCTTGCAATCTTGATACATAATGAGAAATACTAAAAGCATATAACATTAATGATAATAATAGTAGTAGTAATAATAATAATAATAATATACACGAAACACTAATATTTGTGCCCCTTTATAAAATAAACGAAGAAAAATTCAATCAAATCGTTAATCTTAAAAATTTACGATACAGTTCAAAGTATTAAGGTTTAACATTAACGTTGATATTAATGTTAAACCTATAATGAAATCACTCGTTTTACTCGAATCATTTTCAAACATATCTGATTCTCATCAATGACTACGTGAAAGTCTATAAGTTAGTTTTCCTTTGCAATGCCTTAAAATGGCAACATAAATTGAACTTATAATACGTAAGTCTTAAATATTATTATATAATTACTTATCAATAGTTCCATCCATTATATTGTTCTTAACTTGAATGCTAATGTGTATTCCATCTCCAGACGCACCTTTATCCTTTATCGTTTGCGAATTAGATGCATTGTCGAGGCCCAGCTTACTTAAAGTACACAAAGCTTTCAATGCCGCTTGATTACGACTCGCACTCCTTGTCGGCCCATTGCCATAACAAACTTGCGGTGGATCTGTACTTAACGTTACAAGTGAGAGATATTCCTTATTTACTGCTGCTGGCTGAAATTAATATACAAAACATTAATTACACGAAGCATACTATTCAATTTCTTATTTTACACTGATTTAATTTTCCATAGTTATAACAAATTGTTAATATCGATGACTACCTTAGGAAAGTCACTGAATTCCACGTTGAAGTTAAATAACTGAGAGAGATATTTCAACTGATCTTTGGGAGAAACTGTGGCTGGGTTTTGTTGTTGGCCTCGTAATTCTTCAGCAACAATTTCCACACTGGGTCCACTACTTAATTTAGATTCTTGGCCTCCATCGACTAATAAAATTCCAGGTACTAACTGACGCCCAATAGTTCCTCCTACTGGATGAGGTTGAGCTTCATTTATCTGCTCATCTTCTAAGAAAGTGACCTTCCTAGGTTTTGTTTCAGTGTTCTCGCTTTCTCCTGTTTTTATTGATGGCTTTGTAGGCTGTCGCTGTGGCTTACTGTAACCTAATTGCGTTAAAAGAGCTTCTGCCGCAGCTCTTTTGGCTAGCTTCTTATTAGGACCCATTCCTTGCGCTGAATGTTGTCCCATAGTAACCTCCATAACGAATTCCCTTCGCCTAGGTGTACCCTTTTCTTCTATTAAATTATAAACGGGTTCCTTTTCTCGTTTAGCTTGCTGTATCTGAACCAATCGTGAAACTGGATTCACTTCTTCCGCAACTTCCGATTCAGAACGTGGTTCCTGATAAACTTTTATCAAGTTTCGTGACTTTTTCTTTGTTGCTGGTGGTTTGCGTTTGACTCGCAGCGGGCGATTTTGTATAGTTTCGGTCAATGGAGGCAAAAGATTAAGTTCTTCCAACATAAATTCGGCCGCATGTCTTTTTGATACTTTCTTTGATGGTCCTTCGCCTAATGTGATTTTATCTCCAACTGTGCATTTTGTTCTGAATGTCCTAATATGGGGTTTCCCAATTTCCGATACAACTTCAAAACTAACAGGTAAACCACGTTTTAATGCTTTCTCGTGAACTAACGATACAGGACTCTTTAACTCAGCAATAGGATCTTTAGCTTCACCTAATGCACCATTTTCACCGGTATTACAAGTGTTTGCCACTTCTTCCGGTAATGGTAATTGACGTAACTCCTCTAAAGCTTTACTAGCTGCGTCATGTCGTGCTGCTTGACCTGTCAGTCCTTTACCAATAAATTCACGTTCCCCTACCTTCAAGGATACTAGATACAATTGAGGTTCTACGAGGTAACCACCACGAGTCAACGTAGGTAAACGCGGATTGTATATTCGAGGAAAAAGGTCTAAACCCGGAACATATTTCTGTATCCCTGCTGGTGGAGCTTTTCTAAAAGTGTAAACAGTAGGTTCTCCTCTCTTCATAGCCAAAGCGTTTAATTCGACCGTTGGAGGCAAGTTCCCAGAACCGCTGAAACATTTTCCTGGATGTCCAACTCTCATTGCCTTAGTAGGTTTCGGTGGAGGTCGTTGATACCAGGTTCGCGTTAATGCTTCGGTCGCAGCACTATGCTGTGCTTTTTTAATACTGGGACCCTCAGCGACATATTCCTCCTCCCCAAGCTTCAGTGTTACCGTGAATCGTTTTTTGTGCGCTGGTCCTTGTTCATTAGTCAATCTATATTGATGCTGAATCTTATTAAACCGTGCTAATTCATTCAATAAGCACATCGGGGTCTTTTCTTTCATGTTTGCCAAAGCTGAATCAGTCGCGTTGACATGATTTTGAGTAGAAGGACTCTGATCTCTGGACTCTCCATTGTTGCTTTCATTTGTGGATGACTTATTTTGTTCCATATTTTGTTGTTGTTGCATGTGTTGCGGAGGAGGATTCTGTTGATTATTTTGTTGTTGCGCATACGGTGGTGTTTGAACATTTGGATTTTGTAGAGTCACAGAGACAGTGTTTGCTTGGTCTTTTAGACTGACACTAACCACAGTGCCTGAAATGAAATGCATTTCTAAGAGTACGTTGTCGATATGTAAAAGATGATTCAAATTCCGTTAATGTTACCATTTGTATTATGTGCATTCATGCCCATCAACATCGGTTGTCGTGGATTTCCATGCGGTGGTCCAGGATGTTGCATGTGATGAATGTGTTGTTGATGGGGGGGCATGGACAGTATTTGTTGATGTGGATTCCGATGCGGTAATGGATGCTGCGGCTGATGTAAAGGGGCCATGTTTGCCTGCTGCATAGGACGCATCGGACCTCCCATTCTATTGGAAGATGATAGCATAAAATTGCTTGTAGTAACAACAAAATGTGCATAGAATTTTGAGCATGTAATTATATTACATATAATAAAAGAGTCATCACAAACCTATTATGATCTCTAAGTTGGTTTTGCATTGTATGATGTTGGTGACGTAACATCTTATAAGATATTGTGCAAAACCTAAAATTAAAAAAGACATTAGATAAGACAAAAGTATATTTGAAGCAAAAGAATCTATACATTGGTTAACCTTGTATGGTTCATTTACAACAAATTTCTTTCTTTATATGGATGTTTTCAAATAAAAGTTAAATGTTTATTTATACAAAGATAATAACAAATACCGAATATAAACAAGATTTAGACTTAGCAAGTAATGACCAGTAATAATAATGTTAGCAATAGTCGTTTTCTTTCACAAATAGACTACATTACTTAACGTAAATTAATACACGAAAAATAATTTTACAATTTTAAAAACAATAACTTAAGTTTGAAATCTATCTGACAGTAGTTGCAAATGAGCATTGCATTATCCACGTTATGAAAAGAATTGAAAAAGTTAGTTTACAAGAAAGGAATATAATGACGTTGATCAAGAGAGAAAAATATCTTTTCTTCGTCTGAACTAGTCAATAGACAATGGGCTTGGCCCGGCTATTTGGCAGCGGAACTATGCGTCGTATTTTCTTACCAAAGTTTGTTCTATTTCACGAAAATTTTCACGTTATTCAATAGTAAAATTTCCAGCGAAACAGATCTGCTACTTTAGGGAACACTGCCAGGCCCTTTACACGGCTATTGGCAAACAGTAAAGAAAAATCGTCTGTAGACTAAAATGCGGCCATTTTGATGTGAACCTCTCGACCACAGTCTCTCATCCCTTCCAAAGGACATCCTACTTGCCGATTTTTTTAAAAGTCCGCAATATCGATTTCAATTATCGATACTTCTCGTTTCTTTAAAATCAACACAAGGTAAATGTTAGTTAACTTCCTGTTCGTCATTCTAAAAATACGATTAATTTGCCAATTATAACAGTATTAAACAAATATATATTGGTATTTATGATGAGTACAAATTGACGAGAATATGCACACGTGTTTAGATTTTTACCAAACAAATCATTGCAGAGTTAAAAAATAGTACATAAAGTAAAAATTTAATAATAAAGTCTGTTTCATATTTAATGTTTTACGAATTTCCTAACGTAATAAATATTCTAATTAATTTCTTCGCGTTCTATAAATTTGTTCCTATAATATGATTCATTTATTGAATAATATTAATAATTAATGATTAAAAGGAATTGTTTTTTATTGTCATTTTACTACTTATATTTTTAAATATGTAGCACAACTTGGGTTAGGAACGTTAAGTATTTATTTAAAAAAAACAAACTCGAGTAGCATGAACAAATATTTAGACAAAAAGATTTCTTTTTCTAAATTACAGTAAAAAGATTACTTTAACCATTCAATGCATTAAATGAAATTATGTATGTAATATGTATATGTATATAAATATATATTGTTCTAATCATAGGTATAAAACTTAAGATTTAATTTAATTCAATTCGCATTGCTCTTCTATAAAACTTACTGGTGTATTTATGTTATTTAAGCTGTTACTTTTAGTAATTCATGTCAATTCAATGTCAATTCTAATAATCCATAATCAAGATATAGTTAGTCGATATTAATCCATTAGATACCAATGAACATAATATTTTTATATATACAAATATTAATATTACATTAATGTACAAAGATAAGATTTCATATTACAATTATCATTTGTAAACATGTTCTTAATTCTTTTGAACCACATTGATAATTGAATAAAAATGTTACAGGGAAATGATGAAATGAACTATAAAATGTTTCAATTGTTTTGGTTTTATTTTTTTTAAAGCTTATTTGCTATTTGTTTAAAAATATAAACGTAAAAATGGAACAATCACTTCAATATGAATTTTGTTAATAGTAACCATCGATACATATCTATATACAATGAAATATGTACAATAATGCACATAGTAGCAGTATAGGTACAATAAAAGAATAACTAATTAAGTGTATTTCAAATGATACAATAAAGATATATGCAACATGGATATAATAAATTACACTTTGAAATGGACTTGGAAACAAGTTGAAGATATTTGCTAAGAAAGAATCGTGTTTCTAATCTAATAGTGTTTGGGGCATAGAAAAAAATATAAACGCATCGATTATTGTTTTATCGTTCTAAGGTATACAAGGTATGTTAGGGTTTTTCTTAAAGTGCAAAAGTATTCAACTTATAGTTTCTTATTTTATAAATAACTCTCAGATACGTGTGTCGTAAGATCCAACATTTTTATGAAACAAAAAAATTACAAATATTTATTATAAATTTATAATATACATTGCTTTAATTGAAAATATTACATAGCAATTTTCTATACCCTCGACACTTTTTTGCAACTATCTTCACTTAATTTTCTCGGATAAAACATTCCTATAATAAAAAAATTACAATTTGTGTAACATAAATTTCATAATTGTATTACTTACTCCGTCATATTTTTCTCTTATTATCTATTAATTCATTATAGAATCGCACTTTGTGTTATGTTCATTAAACTTTCTTATTAATTTTTCTTTGGAGCCAGTAAGCGTCTAGCATCATCGTCTGTAAGACTCAGCTAAGCTCCGTTATTATAAAATAATTTATTAAACGTTTAACAATTTCAATTAATAAATACTATATGATATACAATTTCGCTACTAGATTTACAAAGAGGAGAATATAATTATTTAGTGTCCTTGAAAAAAAAGTCAGGGTGATTATCTTACTTGGGACTTGTTTAAATGTAAAAGGGCAATATTTATGATTTTGATAAAAAATCCATTTGTAGAAAATTCAGAAAATGCTTAGTATGTAATTTCATATAAAACTGATGCTAGAAGATTTGTATAAAAGGCCCTTTTATATTTAAATTAGAGATAAATTTGTAATTTAATGGCAATGAGATGATATGTTGTAATTTATTGGTGTTCTTCGTAGACGCTTTCTCTGCTTTTACATAAATGACAAAGTATAAATGAAATTGCTTGTGAAACGTATTTCTAATATGTATAATACATATATGACCTATTTTATTGAACAATGGGTAAGATAATCTTCCTGATCATTAAATCTAGGACAATCTACTTAATATTTGGTCAAAATATTATCACTCCTTATAGACAGTAATAAGTGATTTTGACATTATTAATTATCTGCATCAATCATTGCTAATATTGTAAATGTCTCCAACCCACTTTCAGCCAATGTAAAATAACAAACCTTTATGAAAATCATTCGACAAGTAGGAATAGAAAATTATGAATTATGAAATCTAATATAAATTTTGTCTTTGGTTCCGATTAAATAATTGAAAGCACTCATTCGAATATATTATCATTCTTTAATCAAGATTTTTGAAATTTATATCAAATTACTATGCTGTCTAAGTGGGTTAAAAATAAATACAATCTTTTTCACGCTACTTTTCAATAGCATTAGGCACTGTCAACCCTTCATTGAATAATCTTCGATAAGTTCAATTCTATATGAGATAATGTAGAATATAAAAATTAGTTTCGTTTTTATGATAGTTTTCATATTTTTAAGAACGAATATCATGTTCGCCGAATTTCATAAAAGAACATTTATTACAGCAGAAGCAGTTCTATTTTCAAGGTATTTTAATTTAATCTACTGAATTACATGATAAAATATAGTATGTTCTTTTTACCTACAGAACGTAAATTTTATTTTTCTTTTAAACGGAAGATATGTATTAAAGTTTCAAATATTCGTGCATAAGCGTTTTTTCACCTTTTAGAGAAATGAGACTTCAATTTGGCTTTTTACCATTAACGTATACAACAAAATGTACGGTGCATATCGTGTACTGATAACCTTATCTCTTGAATTATATCCTAGATCACAATAGTGTACGCTAAAATTTCACGAACAGAAAGAAAGAAAGCAACGCGGTTAAAGAGAATAGTTGTTCTTTTAATGCATTTAAACTCTCGATTGCGCAGCTGGTAGAATTGTGCTATTTTGCTTAATGTTGTACTATTTCAGGGCGCTATATTTTCTTTAATTCGTTTAAAAAGTAGTTATAATTATTAATTATTACACAATAAATATTTCTCAAATAAAGGGTGTCTCGAATGCCTGCATCCAAGACATAAGGAATATATAATAGTCAGTTTAAAGAAAAATAGTCGAGTAGTACTTTATAAACGGCATGCTGTTATTCTTACAAACAGTGATCGTATGTAATTCAAAACTGCTGCACTTTACAGTGTATACCAACAATTTCGTAATAATAAATTTGCATTGAGCTGCTAAAAACGTTGGATAATTAAATGGGTAACCGCAAAATATACAAATTTGAATATTTAATAAACAAATACAAGAGTTTTATACGTTGCAAAAGCATAAAAACTCACACATTTACAAAGTTATTACGTTACTGCTGACAAGACTTTATTGTCTTTACACGCATTATCGATCATTCGCAGAGAACAAGAGAAACATTTCTACCAACTGTACAGTCACGAAGTGAAAAAGAAAAGGAAAATAGGAGCATGAAAATCATATCTCCTTGGTTGACATCCAGAATGCTATTTCTTTCATTAGATTTATCAATTATTATCACTTCGCGTGCCTTGGCAACATACATCCTTAAACGCTAACACGCTTATCATTTTACAGATGTACGACTTGCTCAATAGGATACTTTATGTCCCACTCAGATATCCCGCATTATTCACTGAACTGTTATTTTTATTATTGAAATAATGCCCTGATTATGCAACGAATTCTTAACTTATTTTTGTGGCACCATTGTGATTCACCTTGTGGTTTACAGTCCAGCTATCCTCTTGTACAGTTTTCAAATATTCTTCTAGCAATGATGCCAAATTACGTCTTTTAAATCGTAACGATTCTTTAACGATATCTCGCAAAAATGCAAGTCGTATATCTAGAGTCCCTTGAATTTGGTTTAAATGTGAAAATAGTGTTGCATAATCTGAAAGAAGATTACGAATCATTACTAACATTAAACTGCTTTGCATGTATGTTTTTGTTCGTACGCTATAAATAGATTATACTCTTTCACAATACCATTGATATTACTAATTAACAGGTGAAACTTACAGAAATATATATATATATATACATATATACATATACATATCGACTTACTTGCACCTCTTCTCCGTACTTCTTTATACACGAGTTCTCGAACGGACAGGTTATGTCTTCTAATATCTTCTAATTCTTTCTTCGACAAAACCTTGTCTTTTTCTACTTTGGATTCGCGTTTATCTTCGACATGATTGGACAACCTTTCGTCAACCGAATTTTCAACTTTTACACTATTTTCAACAAAATCGTTAAGAGGTAGTTTGTTACACTCGTTTTTAACGTTCTCCGTTTTTATTTCAATTTTAGGAGCGTCGACGTTATTAACTACCGGCGTCAAAATTGGCGGAGCGTCCATATGATTATTAGTATGTTCCACTGGAATTGGTTCAAAGACTGGTATCGTCGGCATTTCTGCAAGACCATTTACTAATTTCTCTGGTGAATTCACACTCGGTGGACTCGATGTATTAGGTGTTGTAGGATTCACTGTATTTGATGGAATTTGATTTGAGTCAGCAGCTGGGGTTACTTGATTTTTCGTGTCGTCAACCCACGGTATCGGCGAACTTGGTGGAGTAATCGTGGGTGTGTACGATGGTCTTCGTACAACTACATCTTTAGGAATTGGACCCGGTTTTCGTTTATTTGGCGGTGGTTTTGAAGCAAACGATCCTCCGTCCGAAGCAGGTAATGTACGTTTAAGACCGCTCTTTGAGGTCGAAGACGTTGCGCCAACCATATCGATATCCGCTTCGTCAACCATCATTCTTTTGTCTATCTTAAAAGGATTACCTGCAATTCGACAACGTGGAATAAAGTATTGTTCTGACTTGAACACTTCGAACGACAGTTATGGAACATCTTAAATAATTACCGAACATGTGTTGCCTAACTGGAACACTTTCGATTTCCCTTAAAGGCGGAGTCATGCGTTTCAAATATTCCTGATAATTTCCCATTTGCGCTAAAGGCATCGAATGAACATAATCGTCGTCAAGAAGTTTTGTATGCAGTAATCCAGGTTGAAGGAAGTTAGCACGCATTCTCACAACTTGATCTAAAAGGGATTTCCGCGGAACGTCAAATGCGTTCCTGTAACTGTGTGCTCCGCGTTGTTGACTTCTGACTAATCCAACTACAAATCCACCGAACTCGTTCAGTTGATCCCTTAGTCCTGTGAACTTGTCTTGTAATAGCGGATGCGATACCTATTGTAATAAGAAAAATAGGATTAAAATGGATAATAAACTAAATTATTATTCTAAATAATAAAAAATATTTACCAAATCTTTCTTCAACGGAGTTCTAGGAATAACTCTTACTCCATCTGTCACCGTTGTACTGCCGTTTACTAAATTTTTTGTCATATTGGCAGCAGCGAGTTGTTTAGATAAAACCTCGTTGCAAAGTCTATCAAATTCAATTTTAGCTTGATTTTTTAGTCGTTTTAAATAATTTAAGACACTATAGGATAACGAGTTATCCATATTATCGGGAATTAGTGTTTGCGCTAATGGAGCTGGAGCACCCATTCTAGTTAAAGCTCTCCTGAGCGACTGTAAACAAAAAATATCCAGCATTAGAGTGTTTTTTTATTTATTAAAAAGCAAATACTTAATACACTATGTATGATAATTGCAAAATTTACCGCTGCATAATAAGTGGGCATGGTTCTTATGTAATTTTGAAACTGTGTTCTCCATTCATTTGTTGGCTTTAATCTGTGAACTTTAAAAAGTTCTTCCAGCAAAGGTAAGAGTACTGGGTAATTGTAGGGCATTACAAACAGGTTCACACACGTTAAGTTAGTACTTGCTTTTAGATATCCAAATGGATGACCCACATCGCTGGATTTATAGGAATTAGCTACAAAAACTTGCCAACAAATCGTTGGTTGCTTTCTGGCTAATATGTACTGTGTTAAAGGACTTGGCTCCAGTTCGTATTTATCAAATGGGAGATTTTCTATCACCATGGGCTCTTGGCTGGTGCAAGTGAACTTGACATTCGGATGCGCTGACCTTGGCGGCAAAGAACTAGCGCTGAGATCAGGCCAAAAGCTTTCAGGAATCGGCCAGAAACCAACAGCAAAACCTTTCTGAGCAGATCTTGGAACATAAATCAGTCTTCTACAAGAATGCCATGCCGTATTGCCCGGTACTGTTGGATTTGGAGGATACTGCGATCGCGTTCCGTTCGTTGTATTACTGTCATCTTCATTTTCATCATCATCCGCGTGTTGTGCTTCATTAGTCAATGGCGGAGGATCTGGTCCGATCTTTTCGAAATTTATAACTACGCCAGACTGAACTTTCTGTACCAAAGAATCTATACACTGCATCATCATTCTGAAGGATGTTATACAATACGAACGACCTACGATAAACAATCAATTTTTTAAATTAAAACTATACGTTAAAATTATGTTAAATTGTACTATAAAAATAACGTTTATACCTCCGGTAACTTCGCACATAGCATCTATAGGAGATGAATCGCTTGCCACTAAACCAGTGTCTCTTTCAACAGCTGGTGTTCCAGATAATCGTAATACCAAAGAAAATAATCTTTGATCCCATCTAAATGGCTCTTTTGTTAACTCGGATCCAGGTATAGGAGAATGCATTGGCAATGTGAACTTTAAACAAGAATTTCAGAGGTAAAATCGCATGTTCACTAATATGGTTTTTCTCAAACATGTTTCGTTTATAAATATTTATTAAACTTACATCCTGATTTACTCCACTATTAGTCGTGTACTTTCCTCCATCCGTAATAACAACAATCACCGATGGTTCTAGATAAAAGGGACATCTTCCTTGACCGTACGTGTCTATTCCCGTTTGCATACGATTTATATTCAAAACATCCAAAGCATGTTTCAAAGCAGCACCTAACGTTGTCAATCCAACGCATTGTAAATTCTTAAGCTCATTCATAAAAGTTGCTAAATTTTCTTTCCATCCAGCCTGAAAAGTAAAAGTACAATTTCAATTATACAAAAAAAAAAAGAAAGTAGAAAAGAAAAAATAAATATTTTAAAGATCATTTTATGCAAGGACAAATTATTTTGCTGTCTTGCAATTTTCATTTTTAATTTAAATATTTTTATCATTCATTAACAACAGCAAAAAAGATCGATGTAATATTTTACTGTAAAGTAGTAACTACACAGCTACCATATAATTTCATAGTATTACAATATTAAAAAAATGTCTTGATTCTTATAATTTTAAATTTCTTATTTGCAGATCAAAACTGATTATAAAGCTAATGGTTCAAGATAGAAACAAAATTGCAGCTTGTTAGATGTGGAGTTCTGTTTTTAAAGTTCTGCAATAATGGGAAAGCAAAAAGAACCTCCATGCAACACGAGGCACTAAGACAATAAAGAATAGCCATAAAAAGTTTACAACAGTAATTGTCCATTGCATCAATGATTTTCTTGATATCTATCGCAAATACCAATTCTCAACTACCTATGGTGATTCTTTATTGTTTCAGGATCCACTGTTACATGGAAACTCTTTTTTACTTCTTTGCCACTACTAAAGTCACAACAATACTTTAATCCTTCTAACATGTTTCAACCATGGCTCATTCTTGAACCTTAAGCTTGATCACCATATTCGACCCTGGAATAAAAAAGTAACTTAAATACATCAAATTAGATCGTAAGAAGCATTATGCAAGAAAAACGTACGAGGAGGAAGTTATACAAGAAAATACTTGTGATAGCAACTGGACAAATTTTTAAATAGTAGAAGAAAGGCATGTCTTATACGCAGTCGTGTATTATCAGTTTTGTAAATTTGGCGCGCATGTATCCGAGAGGAAAAGACCCTCGTAGGTAGACTCCCTACTCGCGTATCATTATCCACAATGTTTTTCTGTAACGAAAGATACGACAAGTGCATGCTGCACTTTATTGCTTTCTTGGCAAAGATCAATTATTCATCAATCGAAGGAGATAAATACCGCAATCGTTATGAGTGCATTGATTCGTCACGCGGAACAACGAATCACAAATGGGTTTGAAACTGAAAACTGAAAAAATATGTAAAGCTTCTAAATGGAATCAATTATTAACATAGCAGCAATCAATTAAAGCTGGATGAAAATTAAAATAAAATTATTCGAAGTATTATTTTAAATAGTGTGATGCTAACGTGAATGCAAATGAAATAAAAATAGCTTGCATTTTGAAGTATTTTTCACATTTGAAATCTTTTTTGATGGTGAAAATAAGGTAGGGAAAATACAAGGAAATATTAATACACCTGTAATTAAACACTGCAAAAATTCATGCTTACATTTGATCGAATAATTCTTGCTTATATTTGCTCGATCCTCAAAGGTATACAACCTAAAGACAATACAGCATTTTGTCTCACACTCTCGGGGCCTGCAGCAGCTGCAAAGCACAATAAATTGGGGCTTTGGCTTAGGCCCTCGATACCCTGGTATGAAACACGAAACAGTTTTTCCAGGCGACGGTCTACAAAATATTTCTGTTACAAACTTTACCCAACTCTAATTCAAAGTCTACGATAATCTTATTTTCACCATCGTAAAATGTAACGACACAAACATAAAAAAAATGTAATAATATTTTGATAGTTTCCACTATTTAAGATAGTATTTCAAATACTTTTGTATCGAATAGCACCCAGGATCTGGGTGTATTTACTCCAAATAAAATTGAATACCATTTTCATGAGAATGTAAACAAAGTATTATTTTATTTCAATTGCAATAGATCTGACTTGGAAATAAAATAAACTATTTATCGTTTACTATTTAAATGGTATATCTTACCTAGGTTTGCATGATAGCTAGCACAGAGAGGGTCGTGTGTGCTTCTATATACGTGTGCAAGAGAAACAAAACGATCGTGGGAAACGGGAGATAGAAAAGGAGAAAAAGTGCGGAAGATGCGAATGGTAAAGACAGTGAAATATGAAGGAAAACATACCTTGATATTCTGGGGCGGATCTTCGAAGGTCAGGAGCATATAACGATCCCCACGGCTCTCTGGTGATCTCTGTCTTACCTGAAAAAGAAGGATTTGATATTAGAGTCGATGGCGATGGAGGTAAAGGCAGGGGAGCCCATTATCCACATTGCTCTCTCTCTCTCTCTCTCTTTCTCTTTGACGATGATGGTACGAGTCGACGACGACACGACACAAGCACGGCTGAATCGAAGCTCCCGGGAGAGCCGGGAAAGCTGTGTGACTAGCGTACCTTCACGAAAGTCTCCACGGCGCTCTTGGCTACATCCAAAAGCGTGGGTCGCCCGCCCAAATATGCCCTCTGATTCATGGAGGCCGACGTGTCGATCAAAAAGACTATTATGGTCATCTTCGCGAGGCGAACCCGCTCGTTCTTTCGAGGTCGTAACTGCGGCCTGAGACCTCCCGTAGTCAGAACTAGCTAGTTAATAGCCCTACGACAGCGTGGCGCATAACTGCTTCGACCATTGAACGCTCTCCCGAATATACAGTCTCCGAAAAACTTCTTTTATCGTAACGGCGCCCGCTCCGCTCTTACTCTCTTTCGACCTCTTTCTTTTCTATCCTTTTCTTCTTATGTATATATATATGTATACATATATATGTATATGTATGTGTATATATATAAATATATATATATATATGTATATGTATGTTTTTACGTGCTGTGCGCGCGCGTTTGTATATATATATATATGTGTGTATATATATATATATACATATATGTGTAATTAGTATATATATATATATATATATATGCGTCTCTTTCCCTCCACACAGAACCAAATCTACTGCTACTACGGCCGCGCGCCTCTGATGCTCGAACGTGTCTGGTGGACAGCAGCGCAGAATAGCAGCTGAAACGCAGCCACGAGATCGCGTCGCAAGTCGTCGTGAACAGTCGCGAACAGTCGTGAGTCGACCAGGTCCGTATACGAGTTTGTCCGTTTCCTCGTCTACCCCTTCTAACGCATTTTGTCATTGCTCGTCCGAAAAGCATCGCATTTCTATGATTTTTTCATTGTGTGCGTATGTGTCCTAATGCTGTTACTTCTGATCGAAAAGATTAAGTGCAGTGTTTCTCAAACTTCATCTACAGAAGAATAAATTGTTTTATTTTTAATATAATTAGAAATATTTAAATAATTTCACTTAGTTTAATTTAATTTTTTTTAAATTGTCATTAATTCGTGTAAATTAACTATTTTCTATTATTTTTAAAAGTATTAATGTTATACAGGCAAAATGTCGTTGATAACATTATAAAAACAATTGTAGAAATCAGTAGAAATCTTGTCAGAGATTAAACGGAGAACATGTCAGTTTTTTCTTCTGCTCCAATACAACTTGAAAAATCAAGGGCGCTGTACTTCGTTTAAAAAAAAAATGTAAATAAAACCATCTGATGTGTAATAGGACTGGACAGGACTGGAACAACCAAGTGTTGTGCCCCGAATAGACGTAGGTTTATATGTACATAGATATATGTAGACATCAAAATTAGAAAAATCATGATGAATAATTTCTGATATCGTTCAAAAAATTTTGTAAACAAATGTAAATCATTCGCGAGCACAAATTGACTAGTTCAGGCTAATTTTTAATTTCTAACCGGTTTGTGTAAATGTATGTATATATAAATTGGTGTAAATTATAACTGTAGTTTACCTGTTCTAGGATCAAGGACAATTATATTGCTCAATGTAATTCCATATTCATATATCAAATGTGATTGAAATATAAATAAATTATTAAGAGAACGATTGTGTTTCTTAATTTATATTCTTAATTTATTGATATCGATTATAATATGGATAAATTGAATTCATCTAAACGCAGAAGGACAGTTGATGATTTATTGCAAAAGTTTGAGAATAACAGAAAAAATGTGAGATAAATTTCCCTTTATAAACATATTCTATTCCTTCAAGTTTTCTCTTTATTTAATGTTTTGACATTTTATTTCTAGACAGCTGAATCTATCATGACATTTAATTTTAATAAAAAACGTGTCCGACTGTTAAATAATTTGAATGATGTTAAAGAGGGATGTAAAGGGATCTTATACTGGATGTTTCGCGATGTTAGAGTACAAGGTATGAATATAAACAACATATGTAATATTATTTGTATAAATAGTATACTTTTATAGCAAAATAAATTTGTAATACTTATAGATAATTGGGCTTTGCTCTTTGCACAAAAGACTGCTTTGAAAAACAATGTAGCACTTCATATTTGTTACTGTATCCTGCCAAGATTTCTCGATGCTTCGATACGACATTATAAATTTCTCTTGAAAGGATTGAAGGAAGTCGAGGTTGAATGTAAAGCGTTAAATATATATTTTCATCTTTTACATGGAGAACCAAAAGTCAATATCCTTGAATTTGTGAAAGTATTTAAAATGGGTGCTGTAATTGTTGACTTTTATCCATTGAAATTGCCCATGTCATGGATCGATGATATACAGAACGATTTACCTAAAGATATTCCTATTTGTCAAGTAAATAAAATTATAAAATACACTTGTTTTTATACTTTTATATAGGGAATATTCCATTATCTGTTCGTTAACGAGCGATTCTCTCAATATGTTTTTATAAAGGTAGACGCACACAATATTGTGCCATGCTGGCATGCTTCACCAAAGGAAGAATTTGCTGCAAGAACAATTAGAAATAAAATACATACAAAATTGGAAGAATTTTTAACAGAATTTCCACCCATTGTGAAACATCTATATATATCAAAGGAAAAGTTTAGAAGCAATAATTGGGAAACAGCTTTGGAAAATGTAAAAATAGATACATCGGTAGATGAAATTACATGGGCTATGCCAGGATATAAACATGGTATCAAAGAACTAGAAAGTTTCATACAAAACCGTTTGAAAAATTACGCAACTGAGCGTAACAATCCCTTGTCAAATTCCATTAGCAATTTATCTCCATGGTTTCATTTCGGCATGATATCTGTACAACGTTGCATTTTGGAAATGGAGGAATATAGAAAATTATATCCAAAATCTGTTGAATCTTTTATAGAAGAGGCTGTTATTCGGCGAGAACTCAGTGATAATTTTTGTTTTTATAATGAAAATTATGATCTTATTAAAGGAGCTCATGCTTGGGCAATAGAAACGTTAAACATACATCGGTAATGTATTCATATTTCATTATGTATTATACACATATTGTATTAATAATATTTCGGTATACATAGGAAAGATAAAAGAGAGTATGTATATTCTTTAAACAATTTGGAAAATTGTCAGACCCATGACGATTTATGGAATGCATGTCAAAATCAAATGGTAACAACAGGAAAAATGCATGGATTTTTGAGAATGTATTGGGCAAAAAAAATCTTACAGTGGACTGAAACACCTGAAAATGCTTTAGAATGGGCTATTTTCTTAAATGACAAATATAGTATAGATGGTTGTGATCCCAATGGTTATGTAGGTAAGTTTACGCGTTGTACATGATATTACGATGATTTATTAATTTATTTCTCAGGTTGTATGTGGTCTATATGTGGTATTCATGATCATGGTTGGCCAGAGAGGGAAATATTTGGAAAAATAAGATACATGAATTATGAAGGATGTAAACGGAAGTTTAATGTTAAAGAGTTCGTCGCCAAGTGGGGAAAGGAGAAAAGCGATAATATATCAAAATGACTATCAATTATTTATTAATGTACCATTCAGTCCATTCATTTATGCTAATAAAAAATAAGAAAATATAATATACAAATATGCGATACAGCTGAAAAAATTTTTAACATAGAAATTTGATTAATTGATTATTTTCAAGTAGTTGCATTATTTAAAAAAAAAAAAAAAAAAAAAGAAATATTTTTAACGTACAAATAAAATATAGTTAGCATATAGGTTTCTTAACATTTCTTAATAATTAGTATATCTGTTAACATTTTGTACCACTGCATAACAATGAAAGCGAAGCAGGTACCGCATCTAACGATGTTAAAGAAAGTGCAGCAGCCTTTAAGCCTAAAGAAAGACAATCGGTTTCATATAGATTTTTATGAATACCATAAATTATTCCGGCAGTAAGACAGTCTCCGCAGCCGCTTACGTTAAATGTTTCATTTGGATTTTCGGAAGTGTAACATAAGGGTGGGTACAAACGAGAAGTAATCATGGTATTTTCAACTAAATTACCATTTTTATCATAAAAAGGATTACTTCCTGAGGCTTTACGAACAACCTGTGGAGAGCAATATTACATTTTTAGTTGATTCATATGTTTATCATTTTTCAAGAATAGCAATACTTACCAATACTCCCTGTGATCCTAATGTACTTATAACTACTGGAACAAATTCAGCTACTTGTTCTGCGATTATTTTTACTTCTTCCAAGTCCATAATCGATTTACTTTCAGGCACTTGTATTCCAAGATATTTTCCAATTACTTTTAACTCATTTCTGTTTGGAGATGTAAAATGCAGAACATCACGCCACTGTGCTTTCACTTCAAATACTTTTGTTGCCTTCCTCACATCTGTAGGTTCGTACCAAACTAAAAGAAATGATTTTTTTTATTTATATTATTTTTGTATGGTTTTCATACATTTCTTTTAATATACCGATGTAAAATAAATGTAGTATCGCAATATAGTACGTATTGTTTGTTACTATCTAAAGTTTATGATAAAACAAATGTATTATCGTATTAAATGAAATTTGTATTCATATCGTATTTGTATTGTATTTTGAAAAGGTACTCAAATGAACCGCTAAACGAATTAAATCTTCCGTAACATGCAGCGCTGTCGTGGCACTACAAATTTCTTCGTACTACGGAACATCTATAGTGATTCTATATTTATGGGAAATTAAATGCGTCTGTCGCTGTGTATTCCTGAACATAACCATAGGGGTAGATACCATAAAAAAATAGTTTTGTTATTCGTTAATAACATAGCACAAAGTATCAAGCCTTATGATACAATTGTATCAATAATTGAATGATACAATGGGCAAAACTCTCAACGGGAAAGCTGCTGCAATATGTACTGCGGTTGCATTTGTTTTAATAGTGATTGCTTTTACCACACCCAATTGGCTCGAAACAGACGGAAAATTGGAAAATCCAAGATTTATCAAAATCGGTAATTTAATTTGAAATAATTTCGCTACGATAAAAAGGACAGGAATAGTTGTTATTCATTGTTCATTGTCATTTCATTGACGATCTCATTTAATGTGTCATTTACACATCTTGAAAACAAGAGTTTACAGTCAACTTTATCTTTTGTTGCCAATATGTACGTACATAAAATTTGAATCGTGCAATCATTTGTATTTATAGGAATTAGATATAAGCAAAATATTATTTAATATCTTTATTGGATTGTAAAAAATTATTTGTTGTTGCAGGTTTATGGCAAGTGTGTTTTAAAGGATTTGAGCATCCTCATCACTTGTACGATACTAAATTCTATGGTTGTTGGTGGGTGTTTGAAGAAGAATATTATATAATTCACGATATTCTTCTACCAGACTTTTTTGTTGCAACACAGTTTTTCTTTACATTATGCCTGACTTTACTATTGATAGGAAGTTTCTCAACGGTTTTGTACACATGCTGTTCTCATCATCATAATAAATATCAGTTGCTTTTATGGACAACTGGTGCAAACTTGTTGTTAGGAGGATTATGTGGTATCATATCTGTTATAATTTTTGGTGCAAGAGGTGACAGTAGAGATTGGATGCCGAACTGGGAGCATAATGACATCGGTTGGTCTTATGCTTTAGCTGTAGTAGGTAGCTTTATTTTGGTTATAGCAGGTGTACTCTTCTTAATTGAAGGACGCAGACACAAAAAGAAGCAGGAAAGAATTTTGACCGAAGAACAGAAAACACATACAACCATCTAATTATAATTTTCGTTAATAAAAAATATAAATCTATGATAAATTATTTGGGATATCAAAGATCTGCACATGCCAATTCTATGAGGTCGAACACAGTCTACATAGATTTACTTTAAATAATCTCTATGCAAATTTTCGAAGATTCTATTATATATTTTTATATTTATACTCGTTATTTTGATAAGTATTATTTACACTGCATGTAAATGTTCATGCCAACTTATAAAAGCAATTATAATCTTGATATATTTTAAAAAAAAAAGAAAAGCCTTAAATCGAAGAAGATATTTTATATATTCTTATATTTAATATGTAAATTATGCATTTATTATTTGTTTTGTAGAATACTTAATGCTACAAATCCGTCCATAGATGTAAGATGTTTTACGCGAAGAGACTATGTGTCTGTAAATAAAAATAGTATTAGCCCTGTAACTGAAATCATCTCATGGCCTTTACATGAACAAATATTGTATATTTGTCATAATCTTTTATATCAGAAAAATGTATAAAAAGTTAAAGTAATAAAAATAACTTGTTTGAAAATGTTTACTTCTATTCACAATTTTGCTTTTCGTGGAATTGTTGTATGAACGTGAACAATATTGAAAATTAAAATAATCGATTAATTAGTATTTAGGATAAGTTGCACCAAAATTTCGATCAATGGAATTTTTAAGGAAAAATAATTAAGTTGTAAATGACAAAATAGGATCAGGTTGTGACCTGTTTTACTACCGGGGGAAATAATTCAACGTGAGTTACGACTAAGATTGCGTGTACGAAGATCGACGTCAGGTGTAAGTCGTTGACCCAGTTTAGCTCCTATTTTAATCAACGACTTCTACAATTTTGTGCACTATATTGATCACACCTGAAAAATTGTTTCTGTCGCAATTCATATTATCCTTCTATACTTATCGGTACTATACAATTATAAAAATATCATTTTTTTTTTATTAGTTATTCGGTCATTAAATGTAAGTAATGAGAATTTCATCTGAATGAATCATGAACGGGTGACAGCAAAAATGACGCATATTCTAAGAATCTTGACTAATGTCGAAAGGTGTGTGAATATAATATCGACTACAAAACATTCTTTGTACTGTATACGATCTTACGAATATATGGATCCTACCAATCTTAGGATCTGTCGCCTTAGGTGATTCCTATACATTAGTCTTGTTTGTTATTTATTATTCGACTAACATTTTACTTCTTCTTTTTATTTTATAAAACATTAATTTGTCAACATATAACTTTATATACGTTTAACCTAATTTATTTACATCTCGATATTGTTTATCATCGGATTGCATTCCACGATGCAAAATAAAAATAATTCAGATGAAACATCAATGATGCAATACTCTACAATGAGAGTTTGCATAAAATTCTCATACACGAAGCAGTGTTTCTCATGTAAAAATATTGCACATCATCTAATATCATTGTGCTCTAAAACTCAGTCACTTGTGTTTGTTTTTGTAAATGTTTCAGAATGATAACAATGTCCTTGTATGTATTAATTATTACTGGCCTTTCTCATTGTAACTTGTTATAAATATATTATATCTTACTTATCGTCCCATCGGACAATTCAAACACAAGAAACGTGAGATCGAAACGTTTTTTAAATTGTAATAAATTTTATAGGTATTCTAATAACAGATTGAGAACCCTTTATTCGTCATAATGGTTAGTTTATGCTCGTGGGATATTCACGGTTCTACAAGGTTAGGTTGGACAGTACAAGTATGTACGTTACATCTTACATGGCCACTACTTGCCACTATACAATATAACGTGTTGGGTGTGGTTAATACCGTGGGATCTTTACTGGATCAGTAGATTAGTGAATCGATTATCGTATACACTAGTTTACGTTGCAATCTCTATTGTTTGCAAAGAAATTTTTTACGATGAAGAAAAGAAGCTTTTCGGGAAACATCGGTGTCGGTGTTTTCATTGTTGCGTTTGTGTGCGTTTGCGTTGCATTTGGTACACCAGCGTGGTTAGTGAGCGATTATCGTATCACTGGTGCGAAACTCGATAAATTGGGCCTCTGGACACATTGCTTTAGATCTCTACCGAATCCTCAAGAAATGGACGCACCTAGACGTTTTTTCGTTGGATGTAGATGGGTATACGATCCCTTTACCGCAGGATACTCTGACATCCGTGGCTTTCTCTTGCCTCGTAAGTTTCTTCTTTAATTTTATTATAGGAATGACATCTTTTTAGAAGTTTATTATTATCATGGATGTGTTTGTACTCGGTAAGCGCTGCATACTTCAGATATAATTGCGATTGTTTTTGTTACAGCATTCATGATTGCAACACAGTTTTTCTTCACGTTGTGCTTCCTATTGAGTCTCGTATCGTTTGTATTGGTATTATTATTCACTTTATGCTGTGACCCAGAACGAAAACGATACGTACAACTTATTCTGACAATTGGAAATGTATTACTTGTCGGCGGTATAAGTGGCGGATTGGCAGTGATTATATTTGCTTGCTTTGGAAACACCGAAGGTTGGATGCCTGGACATGCTAACAATTTTTTTGGTTGGTCCTTTATAATGGCAGTTGTAGGCAGTGTGTTAACTATCATAGCAGGTGTGCTGTTTCTTGTAGAAGGAACTGTTCAACGCAAAAAGAGAGAGTACTTGAAAGAATCTCAAACAAGATTCCAACTTGAATCTCGTACATAAGTACAGTCGTTTTATTACGTAAGACTCGCATTTTAGTACCAAAATTTTCTATTATTCCGTCCATCTATAGTAGTCTGCTTCTAATAGTAGAGTAAATTGTGTAGATTGTAAGATTAGATTTCTATTTACTTTAAGTACAAATTAAGGTACTAAGCAAGATTTGTATTTTTGTACAATGTTTTACATATACAATATATGTAGATGTATATTAAATACAGAGAGATTTCTGTATATTCGCATCGTTATTGTTTTTGTTGTACGTCTATTGTTTGGAAAGTTAATATTAGCGCACAAAGTAAGCGTTATATCTTTCCTCTCGTATCAAGTGCCTTGAAAAGGTTACCGTTAATAAGAACATACTCGTAATTTTGATTATTTTAGCAACAGTCTTAATATCTCAAAAGAGAACATTCTCGATCATATCAAATAAGTACCTTGTTTCTTTTGTATAGATTGTAGGTTGTTGAATACTACATAATACTACAATGTAAATGTTCACTGCCAATGTTAAATTTACAAAGACTCGTCAGTTATGCGTGTATGATAATTGATGCACGTTGATGATGATACGTCGCAATTTAGCGATTAATATCCGTCCTTAAATACAGTATCATTTATAAGTAATTAAGATGCAAACATTTATGTAATATATCTTAATTAAGAAAATATGTAATTAAATGTTTAAAGAAATTACGTTTTATATTTATCCTGTCTCATCCCTCGTTCATTAAAACAATTCGATTAAAAAGATTGTTTATTTTTTCGGGTGATTTGACTTTAAGCTTTTTTTTTCAAATGTGAATGATTTGAAAATCGGTTTATAGGATGTCGCATAAAGTTAACGTTGGCAGCACTGAAGCAACGAGAGGTGTGGCAAATTACGACAGAGTTAGTATTTCTGAAGTTTATAAACAAAGTTTATGTTAGAATAAATCACTTTGTAGTTTATATACCAACGATAACAAACGATTGACATGTCCGCCGATCAACAAGAATATCATCGTGCGTCAAGTGAGCAATATTATTTTTCATTATTATCTCGATTACAAAGTATATTTAACCTCTACTAATTTTCTTTACACATTTTCAGACGCGTTAGTTTTTGGTGGAATCATCGCATATATTGCTGGTTTGTTATTAGTAATGGCATTTACAAGGTAATAATTCATAAAATTTGTAATTTTGTATATAATAAGAATTTCTGAGTAAATATAATTTCCCGATGAACTTATTCGTAGCCCCTATTGGATCCAATCGTATCAAGAAACTTTCAGTAGTTTCAAGCATATGGGACTTTGGGAATATTGTTTTGAACAATTTCAATATCCATACTATCAGTTTGACAAAAGATTCGATGGATGTCATCATATTTTTTCCGAAGAATATTACGTGATCCGTGAGTGGCTGCTACCAGGATGGTTATTGGTAGTGCAAACATTTGTCACGCTTGCTCTTCTAATTTCATTTTTTGCGCAAGCTGTGATCGCGTTAACTTTAGTTCGTTGGCCCTTAAGATTCGTATTGAATTTCGAATGGGTCCTGTCTATGTTTGCTTTTTTATGTTGCGCGGTTACAGGTAAGGACAGATTTCGTTAGCGGTACGCTACTAAAATTTTTCAAATAAAATTATTTTTACGTCTTTCGTATTTCAGGTACTCTTTTATTTTTGGCGGTATCAATATTTGGAGGCCAATGTTGGCGTAGAGACTGGTTGATGTATCCAAATTTTAACCATTTATCTTGGTCGTATGGTTTAGCAGTTATCTCGTTTATGTTCCATTGGTTTGCTGCGTTTTTCTTGTACTTAGATGCCAAAGCAGGTTACAGATTGCGCAGAGAAAATCGTAATTTAATAATGCAGATGCAGCCTAATCCGCAAACTCATCATGGGTTGCAAAGAGGAGGATACATATAATTCACTGTTACCACGTAACGTTCAAAATAGTATTCTACTATGAAACAAATTCGAACCATTCATAGTTATATAGTTTAACGAATCAAAATTTGAGTCTGTTTTCAAAGTTACTAGACGAGATTGTCGCGTAAATAAGTTTACGCGTATATGTTTTTATCGATATTACTTAGCTCCGTCCATTTTTTATAGAAATCTATATACAATGACGTAACCGTTTCCAGATAATTATTTTCCTAGTGTTGTCAAAAATAACAAACTAGAAAAGGAATTATCTGAAAAGATTTGCACGACACTGTACGTAAAGATGTAGAGTAAGAGAGTAAAAAGAGTTGTTTATACATGTCATTCTACGCGAAATTGGACACTTTGGTATAACCGAGGACTTTATGTTCTTAATTTTTTCAGAGTTTTATTCCTACTCTAGCTAGTAAATACGGGTACTCGTTTAAAACAATTCGTGAGTTTTTAATGGCAAATAAAAAAATAAAAAATGTATAGTCTCGAGTTTTCGAATTGTTACTTTAACGAGTATATCCGGTTATGCGTGGAATGACTTATATTTATATTATAATTTTATACGTGTAGTTACAAATTGTTGTGACTAACAATAATTATTAGAGATCAACGAATTCTTATCACGTTTGTATCTATTTGGAGCTTGTATCTACAAGCTTGACAAATCGTCGAAACGACATTCCAAGCGTTTAAAAGATCACGCACTTCTTTTTTTATTTGCGTATCAACTATTTTGTACTATATAGTATTTTACTATACTCGTAATTAATGCTGAGATCACGATATTAAATTTGGTATATTTCAAAGATAGCATCGAGAACCTTACCTGGAATTTTTGAGTATGCTGCGAGGTCTAAAACGTATCGTATCGTATCCAGAGGTAGATTACCATCGAGAACAATAAAGCTAGCTTTTTCTACATGCGACTGATATTTTTTAACCAAATTTGGACTAATGCCAGCCAAGATATCCATTTCGCCGATTCCAAAACGACATTCACCTTTGTAGTCGATTATTACAGTACACCTTGAATCACAAAATTTAACAAATATTATCGATATAGATAAAAATTCTAGAAATTCTGTATAGCGCTCGAATATGTAACATTAGCAGGAGAAAAAGTCTTTTACATGCAAGAAGGAAATTGGAAAATGATAAAAGAACCGCCATTGAAAATCGGTGATCGGTGAAAGGTCTCGAGTGATACCTACGAGGTCAACAGTTATTCCGATTCGTACCATTCGCTATAGAACCAATAGCTGTTAACGTCGTCGCGAAAGAATTCTTTCTTTCAAACTTTAAGGTAGAATTAATTATAATTGTTTCAAAGATTATATTTTTTAAACGCGAATTTACTGTAAAATCCTGTCGTTTAAGTAAGACAAGAGAGGGAAGATCCAAGTATTTAGGGAAAACGTACGCATACCTAGCCGTGCTCTTGTTTGATAACTGCTCGACGGTCTGACCACCGTCTCCTAGACTTTTAATTATAGCTTTCCCAGGTTGGTCGTTACCGACGACGGATATTAGTCTGGTGGTGTTCAGACCGAGGCTGATCAAGGCGTTGGCGATATTTTGTCCGACACCGCCGCAACTGTCACGACTTATACCGGCATGCGTTCTACCATCGTCCTGAAAGAATACAACATGCAACGTCAATTATTGATCCGTGATATGGACAAGATGCGCCGCTCTATTCGCGCGCGTCGAACGCCGCCGGCGCTCTGAATTGATCGATCGTCTTCGAATTCCACGCGAAAGGGTAAGCGATCCGAATCAACGCCTCCCGTTCGATTCGATAATTAGACAAAAAATGTAATACTTTACAGAGGTATTGCGCAGGCGATGCTAATAACGTAACTAATTTTCGTTTTAAAAGTGAAAGAATTTTAGCGATAAGGATACCTCTCCGCGTGTTCTCCTAAGAAATTGTGAGTTTCTCCTGTTGTATAATACTGTCTACTTTGATTTAAGGCTTACAATTATTTTTGCGTACGAATGGAAATTGTAAAATCGTCGTGTATTTCGAGTACATACATAGGTGTATATCTATGTGTGTATGCATGTAACACGTGCCGTCTCGAGGACATCGCATCCAAGGGATTAATTTCTCTCTTCGTCGCTCCACCCTTCGGCCATCCTCTCGGTGCCAAGAATAAATAGACGGGAAAAATGTGAATTTTTCAAGGAGACAGCCAGGAATTCTTTCTCGCATTTTGACTTACTTTTTCTTCGTTGCACCGACTCAATTACGAGATTCGCATTCCGTTGGAAAGTAGCCGCGAGTGCAGCCATCGAGCAGAAGGCTGATATTTGGCATCGGTGGAAACCGACTCCTGCAGCGCGCAAGCTCGCTTTCTTCTATTCACTTATCCTTATCTCAATGTATTATCGAAATCAACGTACTTTCGTCGTTTTCCTCTTTTGTAAAATTATGCGTACCGGATGCATCTACGTTTCACGGGCAGCAATTATTCCCTCTCTTATCGCGTTCTGTTCTTTATCTCCTCCGAATAGCTATTTTTCTTCGCGTCGCTCCTCTCCCTTTCCCTCGCGTTTTCCACAGATTTTCACTTCTTCACCCCTTCGTCGTGATTTCACCCTTCCACTCGTCCCTTGTCAGATTTCCTGACTCGTTATATCTCTGTTGGAATCGCATCCGTTCCTCTCCTGCCGAGGCTCCACCTTTCCACTCGTGCACCCTTTCTACAAACTTTCTCCCCTACACGTTTCGTTTCTCTTGCACTCGTATAAAATCTTGTATATAACTTGTTTTAACCCTTTGCCCGATCGCAGGGCCGTCTCTGGGTTATTCGTTTCCCGAGTGGTATCTAAAATTTGCCGCCATCCTTTTGCCAAAAATGATTTAATTCGAGTAGCGTGCACGCGCCTGTCCGCCGCTCCCTTCTTTCGGTCCACCTTCCCTCTCAGTCTTTCTATCGTCGAGAACCATCCCCTCCATTATCCATTTCGCTCGCACCATCCATCCCCCGTTGGCCACCAATCCACTCGCAGATTTTCCCTCTCGCTCTGTTCTCGATGGTTCAGCTCGTTCGGTCTCTGTCTCCACGGTGGTCGCGCTGTCTGTCGCCGACACCGAGCATCGCGAGTCAGTCCGGTTGCCTACCTCGGGCGCTGTTGACAGCCACCCCCGTGCGCGAGAAACCCTTCCCGAAGCCAGTCGCGTTTCCATCTCTTCCACAGTGATAGCGAGAGACCCCCCATTAGCGCGTCTTCCGTTTCGTTTCGTTCCTCTACGAAACCGGCTGGTGTGTCGTTACGTCGTTACGTCGTTACGTCGTTAGCCATCGAGAAGACAACGGCGACGTTCACGTTTCGATCGAGCGAAACCGCGAGGTACTCTAGATCGACGATCCACGCGTCCTTGTGAGTGTTGTTTCTTTACGCGATACGGTTGTTGCCCCGCGACAAAACCCACTCAAAGATAGCCAAAATTTCTATTCAGATGCGACCCCCGAGTTACGAATAAAGGATAAAGTTTATTCGTTGTTAGTCGAATAAAACGTATAATCCGTTTAATCGTTGGCTCGGATAACGTGTCTTAGGTTCGCTTTACTCGCTGTCCATTATTTTGCTCGTCTCCGGAGCCAGCGAAACGAACCCAGGATCCCCGTGACGATCACCGTCAGATAATTCAAGGAGAAGATGACGACGCGCATAACGAACCGCGCGAGATCATGGTGGTGAGGAGCGGATCCGTCGCGCGAACTAGAGGCAAACGGAGAAGAAAGCAAGCAGCGAGTTGGCATGAACGACGAGGGGAACAATCCCGACGACGCTCACGGCGATGGTTATAGACGTGACGTGACGACCACGTTCCTGTCTGTCGACTATTTACGTTCGTTCTCGCTCGTCATACTTGCGATCGCTACGATGGTGTTGATGACGCGCACGTCGGATCGTCGGTGTGCCAGCCTTCAGCGCGCCTAAAGGTCAGTAACGAGATCTAGAAAAGTCTTTTCCAACTATCGACTACCGTTTCGATTTCATTCCTCCTAACGTCCCCGCATCGACAGACAGAGAACACTAAACACGTGTGTGCAGAGAACGATCAGATATTTATGTATACAGCGACTGTGTCGCTTTCGAGGGTTACGGGTGATCTAAGTCTGGTGTGCTCCAAACGATTTCATTCTTCGAGGTATCCAGAATAAGAACAGCCTTATCGTATTTTCATGGAAATTTCGTCGGAGAAGAATTTTTCAGGAGACACCGATTCGAGTGTCTTCTTACATATGTTTCGACTTGTCGCTCGTTGGCGGAGGTCCACGATTCTATGCAAAGATATATCCAACGTTCCTCGGTGTCAGAGTATCGTTCGTTGGGCTGTAACTCCGCAGGGGTGCGAACGAGGCGTGGATAATTGAGGCGGGGCCGTGACAGTGGAAGTCGCTGAATAAATATATACATACGTGGAAAGAGAAACGAAGCGAAGGAAAGCGACGATAAATTCCTTCGGGAAGGTCGGGGGAAGGATTGCATAACATCGCTCTCTCCCTCTCCCTCTCCCTCTCCCTCTCCCTCTCCCTCTCTCCGCGCTTTTCTCTTGCTCCCTTCTCGAGCGGTTGATTCTCGGTTTCCCTCCAAGCAGAGAGGGACAACATTTTATTCGAACACACACAACCAAACCGTGATTGTTTACAATGTTCGTTACGGAATACTTTATTTTTAATTGAAATTCAACATGTAACGGATAAACAATTGTTTGTTCGTTATTCATTGTTTTTGACCATCTTCGTCTCCGAGTCCAGCCCTCCTTCAAACGTTAACGAACATCTGTGTCAATAACTAATTAAAAACTCTTGCCACGGGTCGCTACTACCCCCTGGAACCCTTTCTCTGCTCTGCTCGCTCTTCCCGTCCTCCGTACTGTGTAGGTATTTAATTAAAAGAGACCGCGACCTATTCTCCGCGGCGATGCTCGCCGCGTCGTTTCATTCACTGGACAAGGTCAGCCCTCGTTCGTCGCACACCGGCATGGAAGGGATTTTCTCGTTTCTCTCTGCGGGAGAAGAACCAAGGAAAACGAAGAGGTGACGAAGAATCGATTCTACGCCACCTTTCCATCGGTATCGAGTGAACACGTCGCCTGAACATTGACCAGGACATTGACTGTGAATGTGTTCCCGTTGGTATGGAGCAAAAATCCTCGGATTAGGGGTTGGTTTATCGAGTTGTGGAACTTTTGAAAAAAAATGGAAAATATTCGATTCGTGGACAGAAAATTTGGATTCTTCGAAATAACGCGAAAAAGGTCGCGTTGAAAAATTCGTACCAGTAACAAAGATAACCATTTGGTAATTAGATTTTGGACAAGACTGATTCACATCGGTTTCCTTGCGGCGGTGTATTCAGCGGGAGCACGCCCGGAGGGCTTAAACGATCGATGGGTCCTTACCTTTCTTCCGTGTTTCGTTGCAATTTCGTTGCAAAACCACTCGGTAGCCCTGTCCGTGCACAACATCGATGCATAAAAGAGAAAAAGAGAGAACGAACTCGAGAGCGGAGATAGTCAACAGCCCTTGCAACGTGCGCGCCCCTTCTCGCGTTGGATCGTCGCGAATCTATCGACGACGAGGGCTTCCTTGTTCTCCACTCACGTCTGTTTACCCCTCTTTCTTTTCTTAGGTCCACACAACGTACGTGTGTGGATTCGTCGAGCACGGTGCATGTGCATCGTCCGTTTTTCCACCGTGTTGTGTTTATCGTCGCCGCGTATATTCCAACATGAGCCACGGAGAACTCCGGTGCAGTGATTCCCAACTACGCGGGTGATCCGACCCGAGCCGTGCCAAGAATTCGAACCCGTTCATTTAGATGCATACAATGCGGATGATTTTATGCGAGATAAGTAGGAAAAACTTTGGTTAAATCTTGTTTTGGTCTAGAGTATTGGAGATTTTGTAACGATTTCAAAAGATTTCAAAAGATTTCTAATAAAAATTTGTACCGTTAAAGCAAAGTTTAAGCGCACGCGAGCAGGAAATGTCGAAGCACTGCGATATTAACGAGAGGAACGGTGCGCCGCGCCGCGCCGCGCCGCCCCGCGCTGCGTTCGCAATCCCCTCATACGCGTGTTTACTCATTCAACCGCTGGAATATGCAGTGTTTAAACGAATCCGGTGGAAAGCTTCTCATTTCACGCGGTGCAATTTGCTTCCTGAATCGCTAAAAAGCTTGAATAGGGGACCGTTGTGTGTAAACGAAAGGGAAGAGGCAACTTGTCGAGACTCCACGTTAAAGGTAGAAAGTACGGAGAACTTGGAAGACGCGGACGACGATATTCCTCGCGTTCTTTTTAAGACCACCGACTGTCAAAACCTCGAAAACCCGGATTTGCCGGTTTATCGTTGGATAATAAATTAGCCAGCTTGGTTTCGCTCGATATCACCTGCTGTTAACACGGGATTGCTAGAGAGGTTCGATTTTATGCAATGCTATCGTAAGTATATTTCTAACGTGTACGTTCCTTTGGTATCTTCCGCTTATACAACGCAGACCTTCCAATCGTCGCGTAACCAAAATTATAATTTTTCTTTTTGAAAAACACCTTCGTTCTCAGTTATAGGATCACGTTAGACGGATTACGAATGCTGCAACGCGAATATTGCCATTTTCAAAGTACTCGATAAATATAAATACCAGCTGCCTAAGCGATTCGAAATGTCAGTTGATGCGCGTCATTTAAAGTTATAAATGTCTCGTTAATATGAATTCACGGAAATAATCTCGGCGCGACATTTAAAACCCTCCCGTTAACACAGTCGGAGGTGTTTCTATTTGCACGGGAAATATTTGCTCCGAGAATACATTTCGTCTTCTGAAGCGGGTTAAAAAATTGTTCGCGCGAGCAAGCATCATTTTCTACGCTGCTGACGTGACGTCAGCTGACAAATAAGAATACTCGATAGATATACGATTACCCAGGTACCTTCCGCGATCTCCAGATTCTTTGTGACGATATCTCTCGCCAACGATTTTTCACGCATACTTTTTCGTAAAATTGTATGCTCGCATTTAATTGAAAGAAAACAAAAATCCATAGTCGGGACGGGCAAAACTAATTCGTATTCGTTGCCAATATCTTTCAGAAAGATTTTCGAATTCGTCGCCATCTTTGAAATGTAGTATTTCCGGTATTTCTTTGAATGATTGTTTCGAGAGATCGGCTTGTCAGCTTTCGCAGAGTTCTCTCCTAGCCGTCTTGTTCGTTGTGTTCTCTCTCCCAACGGAGGCAATGCGGGCGCGCACAACTAGCCGGCAGGGGATCGATAACAGAATCGCCTATCGCATGCTACAACTGTCAGAAAGAAATACAATTTAGCCAGGCGCACGCTAGGCGACCCTTTCGTGCCATTTCGCGGTGTACGTTGGTTTAACGTGATCTATCGCGATGAAGGCTAATAATTACCGTATCTATGCGACGTGTATAGTCTGTATATCGGGCGATACGCGTCCTCGCGTCCTTCGAGAAATTGAGCGGGAAAGCTGTCCGGAGCGCGCATTACGGAAGAAAAATTAAGGAAAATGGTTCGACGACTTGTGATTTTAGTCTCGATTCGTCTCTCTTTGTTCGGTCGATTTGATCGATGTATAGGTTCGATATTTTTATCAATTTTCAAAGTACACTCAACTTTTAGCCACGACTAGAAACAGAATACACGTGACGCAATCAGTCTGTACGGTGTCCGACAAGATAGATTACTCGCCCTCGAAAACTTTATTGCTTCGTATCGATGACACGAATCTGATATCAACCGGCGCTCGAATATTGTTCTTGCGATGAAACAAAGGCCAAAGCGGTGTTGCGAGGTTCGCGCGCGATCGATCGATTACCGGTTCGAACGTTTACCTCGAATTAAACGGATGAAACAAATTATAGAGTCACGGATCCGTTATCGGAAACTATAAATTTTGAGTCGGTTCGCGAGACGATCGTTGCTCGTCCCAAGCCATAAATCTTTCGCGGACACTTTGATACCACGTTTCGACTAAATTTCTCATATCTGAAAGATCGACTTGGTTTGCATTGCTGCCATTGATTACTAGTCTGTCATCGAATCGTAGGAATGGCAGGTAGAATATCGATCGACAGAAGTGGCCGAACCTAACGCCGTCTATCGTTTTGGTCAGACGATTGATTGTATTTACTCGAACGATCCAATTTAGTAACCAAATGGCGCGATCTTCTAATCCCTAATTCAGCTGTGTCGAGTACCGTTGTCTTTGATCGATCTATTATCCGCGACGACGCAATCTCTCGAACCACTCGACACAGGCAATTTAACGTAAACTCGAGCAGTCTAGTGGAAAGCTAGTCGAAAGAGGGTCGAAAGTGTCGAAACGAGTGGCCGAAGTTGAACGTTGCATATTCTGGTCAGACTTTCGCCCGAGGCGATACACGCTCCCGAACCACTCGACAACCCACAAAAAAACCACTGATACACATTTTCGATTCATTTTGTTCATTCCGAAATATCCTTGCATCGAAAAAGAGGAAAAGTATGTATATTAACACTTGTGATCTCTCTAGCCGTAGGAATCAACGCTGCGATCGTCACCACGAGAAAGCGAGTCCACAGGAATCTGCAACGACGCGGAGAACCAGGGTAGCCCGCGACCATCGTCTTGCAATGAACAGGCTGCACCTGCCAAGGCGCATAATGTGTCTCGCGTGACACGCGCCGTTTCTCGGTACATTTCTCGTCGGGGCTCTTTGGCTTGATACACGCCCCCGCTTCCATTCTACCCAGGGTATAATCCTTACGACGAGGACACGCGTACCAGGGAGGCACGATAGTAATGACGGTGATGCTGCTGCAACGTTCAGTCACCCCGCAGTCGACGCACAGCCAAAAGACAGCGAACAAGGACTGCAGCGCGAAACAGTCATTTTTATTCCTGCTGGACGACCGTCCAGAGCATCGACACTCGACGGACACGACTACCACGATTACTACTAACAACAACAACAATAACAATAACAACGTCAACAACAACAACAACAACAACAACAACAACGTCAACAACAACAACAACATCAACATCAACATCAACAATATCAACAACAACGTTCTCAAAAGAGACAGCAGTCTCTCGTACGTCGCCGAGGAGTCGGTGGCGTCGGTGACGTCCCAAAGACGCGCCGATTGTGGCCAGGACGTCGCAATGCGATATTACCGGCTCTGGATCTACACCTGTAACTTGGTGCTGCTCGGTAGCGCGCTCGGCTTCGCCGCTACGGTCTCGCGTACTCTTTTATTCACCGGCGATCCTCGTCGTTTCGTGATGCCAGGTGTGCCTCGTGCATTCGACCCAACAGCACTCTACGCTTATTTGGCACTGGCCACGCAGCTGGGCTTGGTGCAGTTGCTCGGCTGCATCGCGGCTAGGAGGCTCAGCGCTAGACTTCTCAACGCCTATTGGGTTCTACTTCTGGCGCTTCTGTTCGGCGACGCCGTCATCGGGGTCGCCTGGGTCTTCCGATTCGAGAGGATGCGCGCCGAGCTCAGGCCCAATCTCAGACAACGACTGCAGGTCGGTATCCTTCCTTTCGGACCGTCTTCGGATCTTCTTTTTCAGACGATTCGTTAATCGAAGCGGTACGCGTATTTCGAACGATCGGTTTAGAGAGTAGGAAGCACAGCTTCGTTTTAGTCTTTTCTCGCGAGTCGTTAAAGAAACTTTGATTCCATTCAACGTTAATAGTCTACCGTATATAAACGAACTTCATCTTATTGTTAGACGCTTCATCCAAGGCAGCTCGACGTTGCTTGTAAAAAGATCGCTCGACCGGGGCATATAGATAATCAACTCTCTGCGGAGACTTTTTCCCCCCAAGTATCAAACCAAGCTTGGAAACCATAAGTCCCAGGGCCGAGACCCTGGGATATCATCCTTTTCGAGATAATCGTTGCTTCCGTTTAATAAAACAAACGACGAACAACCTAAATATCTCTTTTTATCGATACACCGATCGTCCAAATCGAAGAACTGTACAAGTATGTCGTGTTATCATCTCAAAACATACCCAAAAAGTTTGGAAACCACCGAAACTTCTTTTCCACGACTATTTTCTCCCTCGTGAGTTGGTTGGCGTGATATACAGCGCGCCGCGATTTGTTACACCGAGAATCTCAGACCAGATAGATTGCAGGACAGAAATTTGTTTTCGGCGGCAGTGGATAAACCTCTCCAAGATTTACATTTTTTTTTCCGCGGCGTTCGAGGAGATTTTTTCCCAGAGATGGGCAAAATCCTTACCTAGATAAACATCTCGAGTGACGAATAAAAGATAGACAATCTCTTGTTCTTTGCATACGTTATTTTCGTCGTCTATTATTCCAGTTAAATTTTCGCCGCGTGCCAATCTAGTCAAGAATGAGCAGATTTGCAATGTGCAACGAGCATCGCGAGTATTTTATGCTCGACGATTGAAAAGGCTATTATACGACGGGCGTCGAGGGCAATGTTGTCGTTAAGCACGGTATAAGTGGCTCGTTTTGGCAATGAGCGAATCGGCAATACTATCGTCAGCCGCTACAGGACGGATCTCGGCGTCGGTGTCGGCGTCGGTAGAATAAATCCACTCGAATCGACTCGAGCCAACTCGAGCACCTTGTTCCCAAGCATCGTATCAATCTATGCAAAACTACGAATACCGTTTCGATTTCTTTCCAACGACCAACGGCTCGACACGATCGTAGACGACTTTCCATAGCGGTTGGTACGTTATCGAAGTTCGGATACGTTATACCTCACCGTCTATACGGCAGACTAGAATAATTTAAAGGGCGCGCTTCACTCGATCAAAGTTTCGCTGGACTTGGAAATACCGTGTAGCGTAGACTTCTCCGGATATTTTTATTTATTTATTTATTTATTTATTTATTTATTTATATTCGATGGCTTGATTCGTCATATCAAGATAAAACCAGTTGCGTACAAGTATCTGTCGAATGCGTTGAAAATAACAGGATTAAAGCGAGCCAGAGAAAAATCGGTGATAGTTAGCGACTGGTGTCCGACCGACAGCGTTAAGAGAGAATATAAATAGATGCGAAAAGAGCAGAGACGTCAGTTCCTGTCAGAGTTACAGCCGTCGAAGAATCGCAGAGGCGTGGCCCGTTCTTATCAGCGGGCAACATTCAATGGAGTATCGACCAGCAAAAAGGACAGGTTTGCGTCGCGATTCGACGAGACTTGGAGCAGCACGTCCAACTTGTATTAAGCGGTATCGGCCGCGGTGTGGGAAACGCTCTTGAATTATAAACAAGAGCTATTTAAACAAAACCGGACGGAATCGAATGATTCTTAATTTTTTAGTTTTCCTCGTGTATGGCTGATCCAAGTCCATCTCGCCGCGCACATACCGTCCCGTGTTTCCATTCGATTACCGTTTTATTTCCGTCCCGCCGCGAGATTCGCTTGAAATGCTATTCTCGGCAGCGTTCGATCGATAAACATAACAAATCTACACAGACGTCCGTAGTCAAAAAATCGATTTAATTTCTCCTGTAATATCGGCGAAAAAAAATGGGATGTAACCGTCCTAAAAATCAGATATCATTGATAATTCAAGCAAAATTTCGAGTATTCGTACTTGTACGTTACTTTTGACGGCGAATCGACGGTGTAAAAGTAAATTTGAGTGTAAAATTGTTCCGCTACAATTATATTCTCTGCGCGGTATGTTCTTTTTTTTTAAATTAGTTTGCCTCGAAGAAATGTTGGATTCGCGTGTTTCGCATCGCATCGTAACTATCGAAATGGCGCGGCGTTACCGACCCGTGGTTGGCTGACCCAACGCGTTCAACTCTAGTTTCTACGGTAGTATGAATAATATTCATACCATAGCTGGTATACAGTCTATTTATAAACGCGTGTGCAGGTATTTATATATTTCCTGGTAACTCGGCGGCACGAAGTTTCTTCCATCTACGACGCTTGACATTTAAACGAACAGCGATCGTTGCTGGTTTAACGTTTCCGTCTAGACTAATTAATTTGCTTCCCGATGGATCGTTAGATATACCTCGCAATTGGAGGTTTGAAAAATACTATTCCAATTGTTTGAACACTCGTTAATTTGCAATCGTCTAGCGAATTCTCGACTCGCGATCCAAGTATTCGATCGACGAGTCAAGTTCTCTGATTATCGAGCGGAGGCTACGCGAAAATTTAAATAACTCCAAGTAGTCTAAACGGTATAAAATTTGTATGAACGTGAGCGTTGATATATTACCGTGTTATTGCAGATGTTATCGGCCCCCGCCCTCTTCGTTGCATCTTGCGTATCTATCGTTTCGTTTACGCGATATAACTTGCGAGCTATCCTAATTTAGATTGGTTCTCACGGTAAAATGTCATTAATTTAGCTTTCGAATGCCCATAACGCATATCAAACTACGTGGCAATTCATCTATCGCAATTTCTACGATGGCTCGCATAATTGAATATTAAGATTATGCCGTGATCGGGGTTAAAGTTCAGGTGACAGTATTCGTTGACTCGTTTAATTTTTACTCAAAGACACCTTCACCGATCGGTGTAAACTTCGGATTCAGGAATTTCGCTGATAAACTCGCGAGCCTCTGAACTAGTTTCCAACCCCCTCGTTGCCGTCGCGATGAAAAATCAGTGTCAGGGAGATTAACAACGGTTCCAACCTTTTGCCCGCTTCACCTCGTTTCTCTTCTCGTATCTGCAGTCATTATTCTTAGCCCAGCTGTTATCTAGGTCGATCGCATAATCGACGGAAAATGTGCGTATCCCGGATATCGGACCATAGTTTCCGTCGTATTCTTCTTTCGCTGTCGTAAAAGCAATTCTCTGTTAGCAAAGTTTCTCGTCGAATTTTCGCTATCGCTTCCTGTCGTTTCTGACATTCTGTTCTGTCGATCGACGATTACGTTGACGCAACGCTGCGTCTTTTCTCGAGGTATAGCATCTACAAGGTATGTCGTGCATGCAAAAACAAACAACAAATATACGATTGGAATAGATTTGGAATAATCGCAAACGAAGAATCTGGCTGGCTAGGATTCGAATCTACTCGTAAGGTGCTTGATCCCATTGCTAATTTTGAACTCGCGAGACTGACGCGACGATTGGATTCGTGAACCCGCACAGACGTGACAACGGCCGGTTAAGTGTTACGGAAATATTCGATGCGGTTAAACGGTAAATCGGTTGTCAATTTTTAATATCGAGCCGCCGTCAATCTCGAGCAGAATTGAACCGTTTAAAAATATCGGCGTCCATCCGTTTCGTCGGGGGATGCGTAAATTTAGATTCGGCAAACGTGGTGCATCCTGCATCGATTAACGTGTTTCAAATCCTTCTCCGGCTCTCGCTCGAGAGTTTTCCCAAGTTCCTCGACACCGTCCACGTATTTATAGCGATCTATTTCCACTGCAGATGGAATACGGTAAGGATCTACGATTCACCGAGCAGTGGGACCGTTTGCAAAAGGAGTTTATGTGTTGCGGGGTGACTGGTCCCAGAGATTTCGTAAACCGTTGGCCTCAAACGTGCTGCGGGCCCAGCGTGAACGTCAGCGACGCGTGTCAACAACCGTTCGCGAGGGGCTGCGAGGAGTCTCTGATGCGATGGCTTAGGAAAACGGCAGACCTGCTGTTTGTGCTCGGTTTCTGCGTAATCGCGTTCGCCAAGCTGTGTTTTCTGGGAATCCTGCGGTACGAGATACGAGAGATGATACAAAAGATACGTCTGCTTCGGGAACCACCGCCACCGGCGACCACGTTAGCTCAACCACCGTTCTCACAGGTCATGCCGGAAGCGACCAACAACGGGAACATTGTTCGACGCACTACTCTGCCCAACGCTGTCGCTCCTCCCGGTAGGTTTTCACTTTCCACGCAACGAGTACACCGAATTCTTTGCGTTATTCGTTCGAGGCTCGAAACGATTTCCGAGTTTCAGCTCCAACAGCTGAAACATCGCTTACGCGTCCTCGCAAAACGAGGAACTTGTTTAACCGGTAAACATATTTTTCTCCGTAGGAATCGCGTGAGGGAAGATTAATCGACGCAATCTAAATTCTCCAGCACAAGCCCGCGTGCACGTTCTGCTCGCTATGAATTACTTTTATCTTTTGCAGATCTTCTTGACGTGCACACCGCACACGGACCAACCGACCGATCGTTATTCTTCCCTTGTTCGACAAAAACGATTAAATATGTTTGGACCAAATCGATGTGCTCGATCCTAGTTACGACTCATTAAACGATACGCATCTTCGATGTAACACGGGCAATCTTCGATAAAGAGTTTAGCTGTTCTACCTTTTACGTATGCGTGTATTCACTTTGAAATCGTATCGACGGGAATTTCCGCAAGTGTGAATTTCTATCTATTACAATGTACAATCGGACAACTTTGTTGAAAAATGTCTCGAGGTACAACGTGAATCCATTCTAGAACGCGTCCAGTTAACTTGCCGCTCACCTAGTTACTTCCCATTAGGCTTTCATCGTTAATCTGATCTTTTCGGCACACCTCCGTAGCTTAGACCGCGTAAGCGCTATCGACTGCGAAGCCGTGCAAAAGAAAGAAAAAGAAAACCGCGGACGACCCTAATGAACGTATATCGAACCACGTCCGACAAATGTTCATATTTCCGCGAAAGGAACCAGAAATGTTGGTTTCGTTAAAGTTTCGCGGCCTTCCTCCGATAGAAAGCTACTTCGTTCTTGGCCTAACTTTTCGAGATGGCAAAACTTGGCAAAAAGTTTCGCGAAACATTTCCACGAGTAAGCTCATCTCGATGTCTACGACGTAAAGTCAACTTTCTCCGTCCGTCCTTTCGTTTAGTTGACACGACAGAAATTTATCGGGTCGATGGTATGCGGATTTCGGCAAAAGTTTACTCGCATAATCGATACATACGAACCATCTCTAGAGATTTATTCCATCGAACGGTTAAATTTGCGTAAAATATTTGATCGTGTACTACCGTATGTTTACCGTAGTAGAACACGTTACGTCGGTACGCCTCGGCCGCGGCGTTGTTCCGTTTTACAAACAAATACACAATTCGTTTAAGTAATACCCGTACAGGGCTCTGCTCGACTCCGATTAACCTAGAAGAACTAGGACGTTGCGTGCTCCCGGTTAATAAGTATTTAGCACTCCGCGGTGCCGTCTGTAATTACGAGAACGATAGCAGAGTTTATCTTTATTCGAAGCCAGGGACCGCGGTTGAGCGTATTGCTCCACTCAAAGGTCATACTTTTCGAACGATAAGAGGACGATGTATTCTCTCGGTAGGTCGTTGAATACGTAGCGAAAATTCCGTCCAAAGTTCGTTGACCATCGCGTGATTATCTATTATCGTAAAGTAGCGATCGACAACGGTGGTGGTGCCCGTCACCCGTGGGTACCATGGAACATGGATCATGGCTCTTGTACACCTAACGTGACTTATATTTTTCAACTTGTACTTTTCGCGTGTTATAAACACATATGTTTCGTAAAGTACCCTCATTGTTTATACACGAGTTGCTCGTCTCGCGATTTTGCCGAAGCTCGTCTTCTCAAACAAAACTAAGGAGGCTCTTAGCAAGAAAACAAGTTGCCGATCGTAGGCCGTACTTAATATAGAAATTGGTGAAATCACGCGATGTCGATTCTTTTCGAAGATTAGAATTAACGAATGTTTCGCTTGATCGATCTTCGGCCGACCTCGTTTCGAAAAACTGGTAATTATTCGTCCGCTCCACCTCGAGGGGGATTGTTACGCTTTCTATCAAACGTGGTGAACAATGAGGAGCCCTTGTTAGTCGTAAAAATGACTGATCGTCCCAGTAACCGAGAAGAGGGACTGGGTCACGAACTCGTTTCTTCTCGACGTCGGCGCCGACGCGACGATCGGTATTAGGTATTAGCGTATCGCGATTCTTTGGATTTCGTTAGCAATTTTCCTGCGATTGCGATCGTGGTTGGTCAAAGAGTCGGTTCTGTATCAAGTGCGATACGGTATAGTCCGTCGTCGAAATGCGAAAGAATCGAGTATCGAACGCATAACCTTCTTTCGTCGACGAGGAGCGTCTCTACCCGTTTTGTATGCTTGGCGATAGTAACGAATGCATCGTTTTCAGGAAACGCGTCATTGCTGCTTCAAACGGAGGACTGCAACACCGGAAGACACCCCCTGCTGGCAAACAATCTGCAGGACGGTGGGGCGGACAGCGACACCAACAGCCATTGCGCGTTGATTCTCGAAGAAACGACGCCTACCACGGCGAACCACACCTGTGGTGCAGCTCGGGAGAAGAGCAACGGTAACAACAATTACGAGATGCGCGAGTTCAACAGAAGATTGTTGCTGTCGAATGGTGGCAGCCCGGGCACGGGGATAACGGCAGGTGGACAAAGCAGGCGGACCTGACTATGGAAGTGGTGGCGAAACACCTCGAACCGTTTCCTGTACAGAAGCAACCGGTCCGCCGAGATCACCGTGTATAAGTAAGCCAGCCCGTGCATACGTGGCTCCGATGCTTCATGCGTGTAGCCGCACGGAAAACACGGAGAAAAGTTTGGAAAACGTGGTCAGAGACGAGCCGCTCCTCGGATTCTACATCCAACCTCTTGTACGGAAAGCTGTCGAACGGAATTGGATACTGGCTGTTCCGTTGAAATGATCTTGGAATTAAAGAAAATCCGACAAAATATAAATACGCGTATGCTTCGCATATCGATAGCTGATGATTCCGATTTTCGAACGTTACACGAAACTTTAACGTATCTAAATATTCGACAAACTCTACGTTACAGGGGTCACAGACGCAACGATTAATCGTACGATTAATTAGGCCAGTGATTCTTAATCGTCACGCCGTTAAGCTAGCTTACTCTGCGATGTCAATTTTTCTCATCTTTCATAGTTTTTCAAATGATAACTATCATTGTTAAACTCGTTGTGTTCGTAACGTATCGAAACTACACCTATACATATAGTTGCTCCTTGTTTCTTTGCGAATCGTTAGGTCTGTAACTCTTATCAAAGGTAAAGAAATGTGTATAAAGGACCATCGAGGAAAAGTAATTCAAAATAATTTCAAATGATTTCAAGGTTACAGCCTGATTCAGTTGCGCGAAACATCTTGCATACAGAATGATCGCGTTACTAGCAACCAGCGTATTTCTTATAAACGAACCATACGAAAGAGAAGATGAAAAATCGTCGATGATTTCGAATAAAAATTACAATGGTTTAAAGAGAGATGCATAAAAAGTATCGTTGATGGACAACAAGTTCGAGGATCTCGTTAATTTTGTTACCTCGATAATTATAAATGTTAATAATATACATTTATGGAATCACTTTGTGTTTTTAGTAAATATAAATTAGAAAAACATTGTTGTTTTTTTTGTTGTTACGTTTAATAAAAAAAGGTATTGTCAATCCCTGTTTGATTCCTAATCCATTCCTATCTGACAAGGAGTCGATTCTTACTAAAATCAATTTCAAATACTCGAGTGATCGTAAATTTATCTGTACAGGTTGGTTCACCTGAAGTTACCGATCATACAATACTTTCATATTTTGTACGCCTGGTAACAGTACAAGGAACCGTATAATATTCAACTTTCCATTCAAACATAAGTTAAGTCTCTTTCGGTATGGGAAAGATAGAGCAAATTGCTGTATCTTTCACAAAACGATGCAACTATCGTTACTTTCATTTTTCTTTCTTGTACCGATAACTTCAAAGAAACACGCTGGGTGGCAATAAAGTGAACGATTCTGTATATCATTCGTAAGTTGTATCGATTTATAAATCAACCACGATGAAGAAAAGAAAGTCTAAGACGAGACATTTTTATAATCCGGGAGCTGGATGTGCGAGCGAGAATACAATAATTAGATCGTAATGTATAAACAATTTGTTCAATTAAGACGATTGGATGAGTACTATCTTGAAAAGACAATACATGCGCTTGTAGAGGCGGTAGACTAGCCGAAAGCGAGTCGAGGATACGTTAAAGGTATTGATTTTCGGACACGAGTTTCCTTCGAAACCGAAGAGGGGTTCGCGTTTGATCGCTTTTCTCGAATCGCGACACCATCGGTTTAGACCTTTTGCATGGTTTCAGAAACAAATTCAATCGTTCCTATAGAAAAAAAAAAAAAAAATATATATATATATACATATATATATAAAAAAAATAAAACGAAATTAACGCGAACCAAATTATACCGTAGATTCTCGAATTTCGATCGACACCCATTTATCGAAATCGACTACTTTTTTCTACAAAGACTATTTCACGCGAAATTCGTGAACCACACGCGACTCGTTTCGACTTAAATCGCGCACACAGCTATACGTAAAATGGGTGGAACAAATATAACGAGGTACGCGAGACGCGTTCACGAGGTTTGCTAATCTTTACAATTTCATCCCACTAAAATGGTATTTTGTTATTTAAATCCTGAATTTATAACACGACATTAAGTTAAAAAAAAAGATAATGCTGCACGTAGCGAACACCGTTAAACAAGTATTTCGCCCGTTTTTTATTCGCCTCCCGACACCTTCCAACACCTCGTTAGATTTCTTCCACTAACGGTACATACACGCGTACACATACGCACACGCATACACTCATTCTAGAAATCCTCGTTTTGTCGCAAACGAAACGAGCCGGAAATTTGAAATTCGCGTCTGAATCGGAATCCCAACGAGGTGATCCCAAAAGTTGAGTCTCGTAGCAGACTGCCGAGGACCGACGACGTCGTTAATATTTTTCTATTAAACTCGATCCTTTTCCTACGGATTGCTGTAAAACGAGTCAAGAATTCGATGGACGTGGTCGTTTTATTTTCCTAAGTAAAATTCATCGCCGAGAACGTTTAAGTGCAAATTAACAGAGACGATTGCGTCACGAAACTTTACGACGCATCGCATCCGTCGAGTATTACTTGACAAAATTGAACAAAGACGCAAAAATGATCAAAAAGACAATGAAAAAAAGATAAGGCGTAAAAGGAAGCCTGATCGTAAATGTAGATTAATCGAAAGCGCTTGACGAGGAATGTAGAATCACCGAAGATGAAGATAAAAAAGTCAAGATTTCGTTTTCTTTTCTTTTTAGTAGGAAAGCCAGAGAACAAGTTTGTTTATTTCTTCGTGTGAAATTTAATTTCGCGACATAATTTCGTCGAAATGTTTCTCGATTATAGTACTCTACGTGTTGTCGTAAAATTACGTCAAGGAGAATGAAAGAGGGAGAGAAAATGAATTCTAGAATTGCTTCGAAGATCAATCGGACGCAACAGTCTACAGTTTCCCTCCGGTTAAATACAAGGTACTCGGGCTTTCTTATCGACGTGAAACAAATTTTAGTTTTTCGTAGAAGCGATTGATAGCGTCCTTATTGATTTTTTCAAAGGAGCCAATTTTCTCGAGTGACCGTGTACTCGGTAGTGTTGGACAAAATGTAATCCACGATTATCATTATCGAATCAGGAAAGATCAGCAAAATTCTTATCCGGACAAAGAAAATTGTTTCACTATACCATTCAACGTTTTCTCTGCCAGTGTTTTTCGTACATTACATTTCACAAATCAAGAGAAACGACCCGTCTCAATTCCGTGACGTACCCTGTACAGTCGAGCTTCTGCTGTATTTTTAGAATCGGTGATGCGATTGACAGACTCTTCGTTAGCGTCTACATAGATGGAACGGTAGATAATCTGATTCCGCAGGTAAACGACAAACAAGTTTTCTATTAGCGCGAACCAAGTCTACGAAGCATTTATATTGCAAACATAGAAAATGTTAGAATCTCGCGTCCCAGGATTTGAGCATCGTAATAAGGAAGACTGCAGCGACAAACAAGTTAGATGGTAAAACAAGACCAAGCATACTTAAACGTATTGATACCGCGACGGATTATACATAACGAATGACCAAATCAAAATATTTACAGTACCAAGTGTATATTCGTTTCTTTTTTTTTCTTTTTTTTTTTTTTTTAAATATATATAGACCCACAGAACCGAAGCTTTTTAACGTTTTTAGTTTTCGTTAGTCTACTTAGATCTACGACACTCGTGAAACGTAAAAATTTTCATCGAATAGACAAGTATATTATTCGAGTCTATGTTGAAGTGAAATAAGACGAAAAGGAATTTCAACCTGTTCAAGATCTGGAATTGGCCATACAGTTTGAGATGTTCGAATCGTACGTTTCTTCTGTGAGATCAGCGCAAGTGCAAAGTCTGCACAGCGACAAGATCCAATGTGCTGACAGAGTATATGTACATGTATTTTATTTTACGTGACATGTAAAGGCCACGGCGAAACGAGAATCAACGTAAACGAAATAAAAGGATGAAAACGAACCGAGAAAACAATATATATCTAAAAAAATGATAATTACAAAACAAAACAAAACAAAAAAATAGAATAAAAAGAAACGAAAGGCACCAGACATGTCTTCGTGGTCTTTCAAAATTCTCTTTCTACGCGTATTCTTTACACGTCTTTCCGTCCTCGCACGGTCAGCGAAATTAATTACTTTTGTAGATTTGTTTTCGAGCCGTAAGTTTCCTACGCTCTCTCTTAAATCAAGTCGAACCGAGGATATTTTGAGCATGAAATCGTTGTATACCGATTTTTACGTAAATCGCGAGTAATATGTCACAATATATGTATACAACGTAACTATCGTTGCGACACGAACCGCTGGTATGTACAGTTAGTAATAGAACAAAAATAGCGTTCCATTTTTTGTTCAGAATTTCAACGAAAACAAGAATCGGGCAAAAGTTAAGCTGTTATTTATACGTGAGCGATGGTGGCTACCAGGTTGTAGTAAATAATACCAGAGGATACATCAAAGGTTAATCGCTTATCGTCATGCGAACGTTTTCTTCTTCTTCTTCCATTCGCGTTTGCATATTTATATAGTTTTTACGAATAAGAAGATGACGGGCAAAATGTTACTGGAGTACAAGATGAAGAAACAACGTGGCCCAATTATTAGATTATTTCAATTATTAGAGACATTTATTAACGGAGACTTGTTTATCTTTTGTTTGTTCTTTGAGATTTTGATCCAACTAAGAATTTTGCTAATTTCTGCACGATAGTTACGACGAAATATTGTGGTATACTATTGTCACGCTAATTCTGCCCGCAGAACATGGACTATAAAAAATAAAACGCATCTGTTTTTCGACGAGCTATATACACGAGAATTTAACGCGAAAACGAAGAGCTATTGGAAATAGTAAATGTAACTCGACAAATATAAGTAACAACTATAAGGTTGTTTCCTGAATAGTTCTTTTTATATAAACGGAATACATGCAGCGCGAGTAGTCTGCATTGATTTGTGCTGTAAAGTCGTATAAATATCAATACGACACTCAACGTACTTGGCTTCCTAGCTAGGATTAATCGAAATCTATAAGATTATACGTTTACGAGCGCAAAGATAATGGACACACTCTATTAGTAGACTGTATATAGCGGTGTTCGGTAGTATACGTTAAGTGGTCGATCGTCTGCTTAAGAAAAAACCCGCAAACAAAGTTCAACATCGAGACATCGTCCTTTCTTTGGTATTATCCCTGAATCTGTATCATCGTATCGATGATTCCTTGTTAGACTTCGAATTTAATAATTTACGTCTTTCTCGTAAGTATATCAGTCTGGACAACAGGGTATCATTAGCATCGTACGTTAACGCGTTAGATTACCGGAGAAGCCATCGTAGGGCCATTGTTTTCGTTCTGTTCTTTTTTCTCACGCGTTTGATTTTTTAACACTCCGGGGTTCTTTCTTAATCAGGCCATCGAGTTGTCGTTGAATGTATTAAGATAAAATAATAATACGAAGCTTACACCTCGCAGACATACAGCCTCTGCCACTAAATGTATATAAGAAATATTATATGTATAATGACAGATAGCGAATCGATTTTTAAATGATCATTTAGATGGCAACTATGTTAACGCAAGCCGCCCAGAAGCGAAGACCTACACACGCTACCTTTTCGAGTAGAGTTCAGCTGTCGCGTTAACTTTGAACTCTATGAAATAATGTTCACGTACTCTTTTTCTTTATTTTCTCGTTATTTTCTTCCGATTATTCTCTTTGGTTGTTGGTTAAATCCTCGCGTTGCATCATTTTGTCCAAAACGAACGAAAGACTTCGTATATCTATGTTCCACTCTCGCCAGATGTATCCTGACAATTATACGATCCCATAACGAGAAGGGCTTTTAAAATTAAAGTGTGTAGTAATTTGTAACTGATCGATATTTAAATGTTATAAGTACGTATATCGAGAAGAATGAAAGAGAGGGAGCTTTGAATAGTGCCTGCTTAAAAAAAAAAAATGAAAAAAACAACAACCCAATCTACTGTATCTATAAATGGTTAGACACGGTATGTACGTTGTTTCATACATGGTAAATGAAACATAGAAGTACCGTAGCCAAGTATGGGAAAAAGTGTTAACTAATGAAATATGTTCGTTATTTTGGTAATTATACAAATTGTCATGCACAACGAAACACGCTTATGTCGAGTTCGTTTAGGCTAATACCTCCAACAAGTACTATTTCGATAGTCATATCGAGATTCGAACGGCGTAGAAAATTTATTCGGTAGAAAATTCCTATTTGAAATATTCTATTCCAGCATTTCCTTTTCATTTTCTTTCTTTTTTTTCATTTTAATATCTTCCGTACGATTCAAACGAAATAAAATATCGACTTATTTTTCGATCATGTTTCACTAATCTCATATTTTCTTACTACATCAGACCACTCTTACCCATACTATACTATGAGTTTACGTTATTCGATATTCTTAAATGTACATAAGAACCTATGTGGTCGTAATTGTATGTAAATACTGTTAAACGTTCTATAACTCTACTGAAATATGAATACAAAAAAAATTGGTTATTTAGTATAATTCCGACTTTGGACTTGACTTACTTTTATCTCAGGCTCCTTCACTTGTAACGTGGTATCCATCACAGCTCCGCCAATTACAACCTGCATTAAACCGATTTAACAATTAGAACAAGAAAAAGCGACACAGGGTACAGAAACAGAATCGCATCTTCTTTAAACTTACCGGCCTCTGTTCTGATTTTAGAAAACATTTAGATGCTGTGCTATTAGGAAAACTTTGACGCTTCTCGATAAGATTTATTGCTATTTCTGCTGCCATGTTTGCATTATTTTCTATGAGTGCCATGTCTGCAATTTTTAAAAAGGTCAATTTTATTTCAGCTTTACTTGCTTTCTCGTTACAAGATTTGTTCGCCAAGCGATCCGACCGTACTTACTGGCTTGAAGAGATCGACCATAAGTGATTTCATTTAACTCCTCTAACAAAAATGGAGTTATACTCTTTCCAGTTATATCCTTACATTTTGCACTTTCTAAAGCTTTGCATATCGCTAATTCCATTTCTTTCGGATCTAACGCATACGCTTTAGGAATAGGAACGGCAAACAGTAATCCTGTTCGAAGACCTAATTTTCTTTGAGTTTTTAGAATGTCTGCTGCTTCTTTTGAATTGGAAACTTTGTGCTGCACGTTTATTTTTTGAAATGTTTCGGTGCAATAAAATGCTGGGAAATGATTTGTGTCGCCAATTTTTATTACAGGAACTCCCTGAGTTTCCTGAAAAGAAATATATGTTGCGAAATCTTTGGCATAGTAACGTGTTTCTATTGCATAAAAACGTATACTAACTAGGTATTCTAGCGTTTTCTCAATATCTAAAATAGATTTGACACCTGAGCAAACAACAGCTACAGGTGTACGTCCAAGTTCTATTAAATCGGCACTAATGTCGAAAGTTAATTCTGCTCCACGGTGAACACCACCGATACCTCCTGTTGCCATTATTGGTATACCCGATAAATTAGCTAATAACATAGTTGCGCTAACAGTTGTTCCTCCGTTTAACTTTTGACTCACAATTGACGATATGTCCCTACGTGAACATTTAATAGTTTTCGTAGAATCTGTTACAGCCAAGGTTTCCAATTGGTCCTGGTTCAGACCGATATGTATCTGCCCATTTACAATTGCTATAGTAGCAGGTACAGCACCCTAGAACAATAATAATCAGTGTAAACAGATATACATATCGACTCAACTGTAGAGTTTAATAATAATTACTTTTGTTCTAACAGCATTTTCAACTTTAATAGCTGTTTTTAAATTATCAGGATAAGGCATTCCATGAGTGATAATTGTAGACTCTAGGGCCACAATTGGTAGTCCATTTTTTTTTGCTGCTACTATATCATGCCCATATACAAAAGCATTGGAATTGCTGCTGAATCGACGATTATTCGATGAATATAGTTTTCTTACTTTTCCAAAGAACTTTCGAAAATATAACCATTGCATCTTTATGATTTAAATCGTATACAAATAACTATAAAACATTTAATTCACTGATAGTACACTGAAACGATAAATTAACAACTGTACTATATATATTTGAACGTTGATAACATAATAATATCAACATTATCAACGTGTTATCGAAAGTGTAACAAATTCATATTAGAAATAACTGGAAGAAATGATACAAAGATTTCGTATATTGTTCATTCTAAATACCCATTTTAATCGTAATAACGCATAAGATATTAGACATTTCAATAATAAATCTCTTCAATTTACCGATCTGATATAATCGCGATTCAATTTAATTTCGGAAGTCGTCAACTATTTAATATCATAAATCAAATTGAAATCCCATATTACAAGAATTAAGTTATCGAATGTTTTCGTATTGTTTACAATTTATTTTATTCTTAGATATTCCTCAAATCGATAAACGTTAAATAATTATTAAATGGATAAACGATCGATAAATAAATAAATAAATAAGGCCTTTAATGAAATGATAATGAAAAGGTTCTACAAAAATATACAACTAATAGTTCGGTTAACTGTCTAATTTAATGCAACTACATCACTTAAATGTGGCCAAATTTTAATTACGAAAACTGCTGACTAAACATTAGGTATCAAACGCATTCATTTTCTTAAATAGTACGGTAAGGCGTGTTGAACTTTGATCCCAAAAATCAGGGACGTAGTTAGTATAATCGTAATATCGTATAAAGTAAATCATGTGTTCATTATTAAGAAATCAACAAGCAAGAAGTATTTAAACTACGTCATATGCGTACATAAATTTAAAAAAAAACACTTTCATATTTCTTATCCAAGCGTTCATTTAAAAAAAAAAAAAACGAGAAAATGCATATAAGAATAATTCGTATACATACCTGAAGAAACTATTCCTTACTGAACTAATTCATCGTTTTAGGATATTGAATGGAATGTTTTCAACTGTTTTCAAGTTTTGCTGTTTCTTTTCGTCCAGAATAACTGAAAGAACGAGTCAATAGGAAAATTTAAGGTAATGATGTTCGTGTTACATATGTCAACATTGAAATGTTTATATTTTATATTAAAAGAACGTGAACTCGAGGATTCGAATTTTGAAATATAAACAAGTATTCAAGCACCGTGGGTTTTAGTAAGCACTGCTACACTCCTGTAGAATGTACATGTTACTATACAGCGTACGCATGAATTCGTCAGTTTGTCGTTGGACGCGTAAAAAGACTATGAATTTTAACGTTCCGTCATTAAACTTATAGATATTGTTTACCGTTATTGTTTCACAGTATTTATGCCTGAATTAATTAACAAAAATATGAAATCGAAGAAATCGAAGAAATCGGGTTCTTCTGGAATAATTTATTTAAAAATTTATAATTTCGCACAAGTTTTAGGGTAAGTAGTTATAATTTGAGAAAAATTCCGATAGAATGAATTTTTCAAGAAATTTTTTTTATAATACTATATAGAAGTTTTCATATAATTAATATTACGAGCGAGTAAATACAATTAAAAGTGAACAACTGTTATTGCAGTTGGTGTTATATACTTTATAAGTTTCTGCAAAGTGATTTCTCCTCTCCAACAAGAGCTACTTTATGGCAAAATGTTAAGTGGCCTGTTGTTATTTTTCAACATGCTGCTTTTTTGGAGGTAAGCATTTGTTCTTAGTTTAGCTATGTCTATAGAGAAATAATAAATAGGATGTATCTATTTCATAGGTAGTACACGCAGCGTTAGGTTTAGTTAAATCTAATCCTATACTGACAGCTTTTCAAATTTTAAGTAGAGTTGTAGTTGTAAGCTTTGTATTGCTGGCAACTCCAGAAAATTATGCTGCATCATCTTTTGGACTTCCATTAGCACTCTCGGCATGGTCAATAACAGAAATAATCAGATATTTATATTACTTCACAAATCTCATTGATTTTGTACCATATTTACTTACATGGTTAAGGTACGTAATTTACAAAATTGTGTTGTAATATTTTATAAGTAATTACATTGATTGAAATTATAAATGATATACTATCATTATCGCAGGTATACATTATTCATTGGATTATATCCAATTGGAGTAACAGGAGAACTTTTATGTATATATTCTGGTGTACAATATGGTCTCAAGCATCCACAAGCTTTTGATTATGTATTTCCCAGTTCATGGAATTATGCTTATTATTACCTAACTATAATTATAATGTTATCATACATTCCTTGTAAGCTATCTAAGTATTCTACTTGTTACTATATCGATAGGGTATTCTAATTATGAAATTACTATTTTTTTTCGGTGTATTGCAGGTTTTCCAATGCTGTACCTCCATATGTTTGGTCAAAGACGCAAGATTTTGGGTGGTAGCACTCATAAAAAATCTCAATAATATCAATGAAATTTCATACTTACTATACACGATACATTTGTACCTTCCACGATTAAAATAAATTGATTGGTTCATAAAAATGTAATCGTAGTGTATGAAAACCCATTTTCTTTTCAGTACTTGACATATTAGTATATTTATTTATCAATTTCCACACTGTTAACAAAATGGATAGTCGTCTGACGCTAAACCGGTAAAACTAACTGAACTATGATACTATGAACTAACCATCTAATCATACATCTATAGTCAGCCCTGGCCAGCACTCTACTAATGATATTAGTAAAATGGTTTAGTATCATTTAGTAGCATTTGGTTCGTAGTGAAATTATTACAGTTAAATTAAAATTTTAATTAATACAACTTTTTGCGGACCAAATTTTCTGATTCAAGCATGCGATTCATGGACACACAAATGGGTCGCCACCTCGCGGTCAAAAGGTCGAACTAATTTTTCGAAGATATGTATATATGACACATATTATACCACTAACATCTCGTTTTCTGTATTATTAACTTAAAATAAAATAAAATAATAAATCTAGGAAGTAATAAAGTGGTCAACGCACACGTAATTATGCCAAATTCATCATTTTTTTAAATATTTCATTTCATACTGGTTTTA